CACCATTACTGAATTTAATGTAAAGCAGCGCATTTAGGGCGTCTAAAAAGCGATAACAGAACACACAATGATTTGTGGTTAATATTCATTAGTCTGTATTTATGGTTTTGTCTAAAAGAAATATTTTAATGTTTTGATTTAAGATCACAATGATGTTGATGCATGGTTTATTTTTTGCAACCATAAAATACATACCAATGTTTTTAATTTTTTTTTAAATCATATTTTATTTTTCCTATTAAGAACACGGTTCATAGAATGCGCATATGAAGCTAGTGGGGTTTAGTGTTTTTAAAAGGTAAAGAACCACTAACCTAACATCTGTAACATTTTTAATGTGTTAGTTACCCTATCACATTACTACTCGCTCCGACGAAATATTATAAACGAGCCGACCCGCGGCATATCATACGCCGCTATTTAGTTGTTTTATTTTCTACTTTTAAGTAATTCATAATTTGTGAATTCGACAGTAGCAATGCTGCCACTAAAAATATTTGCTTTAAAACACTATCAGTAGGTCATTAAGAACGATACTACCCCCACCCTCCTTTCCCCCAACCCCTACCCTACACCCCCCCCCCCCCCCCCGTGAAAGCAGCCTCCTCTTAGTTACCTCCACTAAGTTTAACATCGTTTCAAACTAAATTATCTGCCCCTAATAGCCGTCACTAAACCCGGCTCTGCGAATGTAAACATTTAGCGTGAACCACAGCTCACCAGACCATGTAGGGTGGGGTGGTAGGGAGCGCGCTTACAGCTTGTTTTCTAGCGTCTCCCAGAAGAGAATTATATATATTGATGGATAAGCCTAGACAGTGGCGTAGCGAGGTCGGGTGTCACCCGGTGCGGCACTTAATGGTGTCACCACCCCCCCCCCCCCCCGAGGCATAGCGACCCTTACCGGGGACAAACTTTCTTCTTCTTCTTCTTCTTCTTCGTTCTTAATTTTTAGTGGTGGAAGGGATCGAGTCTTATCTGCCAGAGGGTTTGAACTCTATACCTTTTCGAATTTATCAACCATGAGCTTTTTGCCGACTCGACCACGCCTCCATCACAATTAAGGATACGTGTCAACTGGTTATGCGCCATTGAGGCCATTGACTCCGATTTCAGCCTGCTTTTCTTTTTGGATTTGCTTCCATAGCCTTTGTCCAACCAAGAACAAACTACAAGGCAGCAGTTGTTTGATTTTGGAGTTGTCTCTCCTAGAAGAGGGGCTGTCCCCAGCTGTAGAGCCTCATCTGCCCGAGGGTTCGAACTCGAGACTTTTCGGTGTAGCAACCTTGAGCTTCAGCGACTCGACCACGCCGACTCCTTTCAAATTTTCGATTTGCACCCCCCTTCAAGTTTTTCTCTATATATTTTGCTATTTTTTGCGTTGGTGTCACCCCCTAAATGGTGTCACCCGGTGCGGGCCGCACCCCCCCCCCCCTCCGACCCCCCCCCCCCCCCCCCTCGCTACGCCTTTGAGCCTAGAACTTTCACTTGCTTTCATAATTTAAGCTGACTCAATCGTCAAATATTTTTCAAGCATCCATTCATAGCTAACTCACTGACATCAACAACACGGCTACACACTACACAGACTCTACATTCAAGGGACATTTGATTTTTTCTAAGATAAATTGAAAGAGTAGGTGTTTTTTTGTGTGTCAAAAGTTTTTAATCATCATGGTAGGATATAAACGAAAAGTAAAACAAAATATTAGAATAACATTATAATAAAAATGCATAGCATTAAAGTGTAATAAATAGCATCTTTAACAACATCGGGTTATGTACACCAAAATAAGATTATGACAAGCGTAAATGAATAAAGTTTCAATACGATCTTGACATGTTTACATGTTTTATTTGTTGTTATTAATACATTAATTAATTATATTAATCAAACAACATTCATTTTTCTTGTTGGTGTAATGTTTTTATCTAAGTGTTGTTCTTCTTGGGGAAGGGCATTTGAAATTTCCAGGGGAAGGAATCTGGTAAAAGTATATAATTTCTGAATACATTTTTTTCCGATTCAGTGTGGGGGTTGGGGGGGGGGGGGGGGTGGAGAGAGACAATGCCTGAAAAAAACTCTGGTTACTATTAGTTCTATGAACTCTTTAATTGATAACAGTTTCTATTTGTGCTTTAAAATCTTATTTTAATAAATGAAAATTAAGAAACCAATAAGAAATAAAAAAGTCATGGTGATTAGATGAAATAAAAGTCACGTTGAACCGATACTTGTCTCAGTGGTTATCGCACCCCAATAGTTAAAATATCGTTTTAAATAAGCTTGATCCTGTGTTCATTAAGATAGATTTAAGAAAATGTCGTTAAAATAGCAACAACAATATCAGTTCTGATTGCAACGGTATTGCCTATATAAATAGTACTAATAAAAATATACACTGACAAAGGAATTGTTAAGATGAGTATTAGTATTGCGGAAACTTTGTATTAAATAATAATATGTATTAATGTTAATAGTGTATTCCAACAGCGTCCAGTTAGGCTTGCTTGGTCCATCCATCAATCAGGTTTTGTTCGTCCATCTGTCAGTCAGGTTTGGTCTGTCCATCTATCAGTCATAATTGGTCTGTCCATCTGTCAGTCAGGTTTGGTTTGTCCATCTGTCAGTCATGTTTGGTCTGTCCATCTGTCAGTCAGGTTTGGTTTGTCCATCTGTCAGTCAGACTTAGTTTGTCCATCTACTTTAGTTTTGTCCTCTACCTCCTCCACGTCAGTCAGCTCCGACTTTCTTCTGGCACCAGTTTCCGGTTCCGCCGGGAGGTTGAGCACAGACCGGATGTACTTGGCGTAGCTGACTTTGGCTGGAGGTTTGGGTGGAATCTGCGGGGGGATGTACTCCGCAAATTGCGTGATGACTGGCGCTTTGTGGGTGCGTTGTGTTCTAAATTCCACTTCCGGTTTTACTTTCGGTTTCGTTTCTGGAATATCTGAAAATATATGCGTACAGGTTCGGGCTGCTAATCATATTATTTTCACAACGAAATTATTTTTGTAAATAGGCATTTACGTTTTAAGATCTCCAGTTTGTGACATTGTTTATTTCAAACTATTGCATATATAACCCATAACGAAAGGTAAATACAAAGTGATCTTACAAATATGACTTTTTCTTAACTTACTATAATATTTTTTTTAGAATTAATAGACGGCCAGAATTCGAAACTGTACAGTTTTGCTAGGATATACATTGGGTAAGCGTTTCTACATTTTGTCACTTGTCCAGGCGGTAGAGCGCTAGTCTTCTAGCTCAAAAGTCTCGAATTCGAATCCGGGTTTAAGTCCGTAGAAAGTCCCTGAGTCCACCCAGCTTTCGGTGGGTACGTAACTCATGTTAGGGAGAGTAAAAACGGCTGGGCATAAAGCTGACCACACTATCCCTTCATATGCCGAGGCCACAGAAATAGGTAAACTCTACTTCACTTAAAATAATGAATGGTTAACATTGGATAAACCTGCTGATATACAACTTATTTTGAATTTAACTACAAAAAAAAACTACACAACTTCAAACAAAAAGGTTAACATTATTTTCAAACAATGCATACATTTATGTTGAAAGCTGATATTAAATGACGAATTATAATGTAAGAACACTAGCCATATTATCAAAAGCGTAAAAAGTATATATGGAAACGACAATTAAAAATAGCAAAATTCTCTGATTCAAAGAAATATTTTATATAGTGGTTACAATTAGAGTGGTTAAAATTAGAGCCAAAATCAAATCAACAAAACAGGTTGATTAGCCAATGCAGTAAACACTTATTTAGGTAGAATCACGAAAAACATGCAGTTTTGTATTTTAGATTATTCATAAAATATATTATAATACAAACATATATTAGTAGCTTAGGAAACAGAATAAAAAACCTAGCCACCACCGGATAATATTGTCATTTTTTAAAAACAGTTACGAAGATTTGATAATCAATTCAGAAGCGTAGCGAGGGGGGGGGGGGGGACATGAGGCGCCAAAATGGGTTGGAAAAATAATTTGAAAGGTTGGGGGGGAGTTGCAAATCAAAATCTTGAGGGGGGGGGGGGTGCAAATCGAAAGCTTGGGGGGGTGCAAATCGAAACTTTGTCCCCGGGCGCCGGGAAGGGTCGCTACGCCTCTGAATCAATTTAACACTTTTATTTTTTGTTGCAGGTTTCCCTATGGTATTATGCAACAAACACATTTTTAAGACAATTCACAGCTTGTAAACTACGGCTGTTATTGGCTAGTACACAAATATTGGTTTAATTGTAATTGTAACTATCACGAAACTGAAAGACTGGATATTTGAGCAAATGTTGGGAGACAAGATTTGTAACACGGGGTTGTTGATAAATACATCGAAAAAATGTATATACAATTGTAAGATGTAAACACACTCATCAAATACACGCCTTTCCTCACATGCACACATAGACACTCACACACATACACACACACATATATATATATATATTATAAAAGTTTGCTTAAAATACAGAATAATAACTTTCAGCAGATTATACATTGTATAAATAGCACAATATCTCTGGTTTAGATTAACACATATTTACAGAAAATTACATTTATGAAAGTAAAATTTCCAAAAAAAAAAGCCTGTTCTATCTTAAAATTCAAAGTGTAAACAAAACAATAAAAACAATATGAAAGATATCTTTGGAGGTCAGAGGCGTAGCGATGGGGAAGGGGGGGGGGGGGCAGGGGAGTACATATGTCCCCGGGCGCCGACCTTAGGGGGCGCCAAAATGGGTTGTAAAAACAAATTAAAATGTCATTTTAGCTGCACTTTTGCATTATAAATAGTTTGAGGGGGGGGGGGGGAGGGTGCAAATCGAAAGTTTGAGGGGGGGGGGGCAAAAATTGAAAATTTGAAAATTTGCTCCCGAGGGGGGCGCCAAATTGAAAGTGTGTCCCGGGGTGCTGGGAAGGGTCGCTACGCCTCTGTTGGAGGTAACATTCGTTAATGAGGTAATAGAGCCGACACACGCGTACCATTTTAAGCTTAAGAAAGTAGATTAAGTCACACACCAGTGTCCATAAAAAGGCTGTTTCTGGAACCTGTAAACTCGCTGACCGCCTGCGACGACATTTTCTGTTTAAACAACGAAAACGGATTCGAAAACGAGGCTGATAAATTATCCAGCGAGCGAGCCTTGGCGGAAACGTACCGAGGAAATTTAGGTGGCATTCTGACGTCATCGACGGAAACGGGAATCCAGGGTTCCGATAGCCTGGTGTTCTCGTACGATGTGTGCTTCCATCTTCGGGGCAGCTGCTTGACCCACCGGATGTACTGCGGGTCTGTCTTTAACACGGGCTGCTGGTAAAACGTCTTGCAACTGTCTAGGATCTGAGAAGAATAAAGACTTGAATCTTGGCTCACAGCTTCCTCTGACTTACACGAAAACAGCGGTGAGTTAATTTTGATGTGTTCACTACGACGTAATACTAAATTTGCATCGCTGGATAAAGTTTCCATCGAGCTGTGTTTTCTTTTTGTCGCTCGCACTAGTTTTTTCTTCTCCTGTGCTTGATGTGTTAAGAAATTTTTGTTCTTTACTGTTTGAAGTTTCTCAAGTTCTCTCATCATCTCCTGCCTGGAATTTGCTGCGCTCAATAGTGCCAAAGTCGAGTCCGTTTTGTTCTCAACTCTGTCAGTTGGTTGTTTGGTCTTGTAAAATCCAAAAACAGATTTTTTTGGTGCTGGATGACCAGGTCTTGAGTAAAGAAAATTGGTTCCAGAATGTTTGATGGACGGTAGAAAAGGTCTTGGTGTTTTGTGTGATGTCGATTGTAGCGAATCGGTGTCTATAGATTTGGTAGGTTTCTGGGTTAGCGTAGTAGATAGGTGGTCTTTTGATTTAGTTGGTACAAGTGGGAGGTGGTCTTTTGATTCAGTGGGTACAGGTGGAAGGAGGTACGAGGTTGCTATTGGTACAGGTGGGAGGTGGTCTTTTGATGTAATTGGTACAGGTGGGAGGTGGTCTTTTGATGTAATTGGTACAAGTGGGAGGTGGTCTTTAGATTCAGTGGGTACAGGTGGAAGGAGGTACGAGGTTGCTATTGGTACAGGAGGGAAGGGGTCTGTTGATTTAATTGGTACAGGTGGGAAATGGTTACTATTTGCTATCGGTACAGTTGGAAGTATGTCTTTAGATTCACTTGGTACAGGTGGAAGGCGATCTTTATCTTTAATTTGTACAGGTGTGAGATGGTCCATACCTTCAGTAAATACAGGTGTGAGATGGACCTTACTTTCAGTAAACACGTTTGGCAGTTGGTCAGGGCTTTGGTCTCTACTTTCAGTAAACACAGGTGTGAGATGGTCCCTACCTTCAGTAAACAAAGGTGTGAGATGGTCCCTACCTTCAGTAAACAAAGGTGTGAGATGGTCCCTACCTTCAGTAAACAAAGGTGTGAGATGGTCCCTACCTTCAGTAAACAAAGGTGTGAGATGGTCCCTACCTTCAGTAAACAAAGGTGTGAGATGGTCCCTACCTTCAGTAAACACAGGTGTAAGATTGTAATTACTTTCAGTAAACACAGGTGTGAGATGGTCCCTACTTTCAGTAAACACAGGTGTGAGATGGACCTTACTATCAGTAAACACAGGTGTGAGATGGACCTTACTTTCAGTAAACACAGGTGTGAGATGGACCTTACGTTCAGTAAACACAGGTGTGAGATGGACCTTACTTTCAGTAAACACGTTTGGCAGTTGGTTAGGGCTTTGAGTTATCTTAGATGGTACTTTGTCTCTGTTGCTCCACTGCACAGATTTCTGTTTGTGTTTACTGGTTAACTTTGTTTCATTTTCAACAAATACACTTTTGTATCTTAGCTTCGGCAAATAATTATGAAAAACTGCCTCTGTGTGAAACATTTCACCATTTGCCACTTTTTCCTTAATTTTAAATTTTTCTTTGATTTCGGGTAGCTTTAATGATGATTTTGTTAGCTGCTTTTTATTCCTAAATATTTTAACCCTCTTTTTTGTATCTCCTTTCATCCCCAATCTTCCCTTTTCATCTTCTGGTATGTTTATTGAACGTCTGGACATCAATGAATAACTTGACTGTCGTTGCAGTTTGTCGACCATAGTTTTCAAATCCTGTACGGCGGATATCAACTGATAAGCAAATATGTTCTTGTCTTCATTTTCTTCTGTGGTTGTCAACTCTCTGTCGATATCCGGCAAGCGAGTTAACAACGATAGAGTTCGTTCTTTCATCAAAATGGAGACTTTACTCTTGGTCAGCGTCGACCTGCTGCCCAGGGTCTTAGCCTTTCTAGACTGAAACGTTAGAGAAGTCTGTCTCTGCACGGAGAGGAATTTTCTTTCGTTGGTACTCAGAGAAGAATGTTTTTCCATGGAGGTGAGTTTCCTAGCGTTGAAATTTTGTGAATTCTGTGTTGTCATGAAGGGGACTTTACCAGCATTGGCCCAAAGTGATGGGTTCTCTATTGCGTCTAAACTGTGATTAGTATGTACTGTAGAAATGAAACACAAAAATTGTATCTTTTTTTCTGCACTCCACATAAGTCTAAAGACCGAAACTACAATCCTACAATCAGAAAAATGATTGTGCGCGTGGTAAGAAATTCTCAATCAATTGACCAGTGATGTGTTAGGGAACAAAATGGTGGAAGTTTGCTATATTTAGAACACATCTATGTGAAGGGCAGGTGTGTTGAGTATAGCACGCTAAAAAACAAAAAGTGAGAATCGGCTTTACAGTGCAACATTTGTGCATCGTTGTGATTGACTGTGTAAGGTCCAACATTACAGAAGCTCATATTGTGGTTGGGGCTGATTAGTATAATAATTTATAATTACAGTTATTGAGATTATTTGTTTTTAAAGTAGATAACAAATGTAGTATTGTATTTGTAGGTTAATGATTAGCAAAATAAAAAAATGGGGTAAATAAAATTGCGAATAGGTGTGCTGAATAAAAACAATAAGAGAAAAAGTCAAATGTGTTTTAATTATTTAAGTATACTGGATTTTTTTTTAAAAACGATATAATTGTATAAATATTAAGTTTAAGAAATGTTTTACATATTTTTTATCAAAATTTTAATCACGCATTTATTATCGCGTATTATTATTATCAGTTTATTTTACACATTTTATACGACTCTCATTTGTACCGTTTAAAATTATTATATATTTCTTATATTAGCATTGTTATTATTTATATCAATGCTGCATAATTTTTTTTTAAAATTTAATTAATCAAAAGGGTGAATTATTTAAAAAAAAAAGATAAAGTGATTTAAAAAATGAATGCTAATCTAATAAAGATAAGAAAATTTAAAATATATATATATATATACATAACAAACAACAAAGCAGTAACACGTGAGATAATTACCACTGGCAATAACTGTAACACCGACGTTCCTTGTTGTAGCGACCCCCTCGTCCTCTGTGGGGTGGGGCAGTGACGTCAGCGATATAGTTTCTGACAGGTTCGTGTCTTCCATATCACTGACGTCACTCAGATCTTGGGCGTCAGAGAAATCATAGCTGGAGTCGTCATGGTGTGAGGGAGGGGGTGAAATGGTGGGTCGTGGGTCTGGAGATTTGGAAGATACAGTTGATACAGAAAATCCCACCTGCATATATAGGCCTATATATATATATATGTATATATATATATATATATATATATATATATATATATATATATATAATATATATATTTGGAAGATACAGTTGATACAAAAAACGTGTATATATATATATATATATATATATATATATATATATATATATATATATATATATATATATATATATATATATATATATATATGATTTTCCAAATTATATTTTTTTTATATTTAATCAATATTTCTAATCAAGCAACGTTTAAATCGGTTACCAGTGTTTGATTTATTTGAAAGACGTCCCTTTAGTTAGGGATCCTAAAGCGTAAACTATTGGAAATCGAACCACCAAAATTAGATGCGAGTCATCATTATTGAGTAGAAGTATATTTTAATAAAGCTAACACTTTTAGACTTTCAAACAAAACATGCAGTTAAGTATTCAATACGTAAAATATATTGTTTTTACAAACATACACAGTTAATATTAAAGATTTATTATAATTATTAAGTAATGAAATTTAAAGCGTTTTATTATGTTTTTCAAGAATGTCTTAGTTACACTTGGTTAATTTAGCTATTCTTTTGAAAGTTATTTCCTTTGAATTAAATTTTGGTATTTGGATTTTCAAATGGGAGATAAGTCATTGCTTAACTTTACATTCATTTCAAATTCCGCTTACATTTCAATACAACTTTAAGTTATTGTTTGCTATTCTAAAAATTATATAGAGCTGAAGTTATAAACAAAATAGTTTGAACGTTTTTTTTTAGCATTATCAAGTTGAAAAAACAAATACACCAGTAGCCGTTGTAGATTGCAATACTTAATGTTAGTAGACATACAGTCTTAGTCGTAAATTAAACATTTAGTTAAACATCTAGTTATTTGTCTTTTCATATTTTTCACCCTCTCTTAAAGGATTCATATACAACAATTTTAGGCTGGAATCTATAACATTTATAACCTTTCATTTTTCAAAAACAAAAAAAATATCGTAAGTTCCGTTTTGTAATTCACCGTGGGAGGACTGCAGAGAACTTTTTTTTCAGTGTTATATATATATATATATATATATATATATATATATATATATATATATATATATATATATATATAATTTATGAATTTGTGTTTGTTTATATGTGTGGGTTGTGTGTCTGTGACTGTACATTCCTCTATTTTAGTTTTATGTGTCTGTATGCATGCATGTGTCTGTCTGACTATTTAAAATCGTAAGAGTGTGTATGAGGGGAGACTATGAAAATATTATACCTGGTTTTCTTGGAGGATTGAAGTCTGAAACAACTGTAGCTCTTCCAACCACTAAATATTTTAAGGAAAATAACACATTTTTTAAAAATAAAGTTTACAATTTAGATATCACTGTACGATTATGTTTTTAATGATGGATAATTACATGGATGTGATTTTGTCTTTACTGATTACTTACATAAAGCTCGCTTGTCTTCAGACCTGTAATGAAATGTATATATTGATGTTATATAACAGCTATAATGTAAGTTGAGGCGTGCTTGTATAAATAGGGGCGATGTGGCCTAGTGGTAGAGCACTAGACTGCTAAAACCGAAAGTTTCAAGAGCCCACTCAGCTCTTATGGGTACCTAACTAACGTTAGGGAAATTGAAGACCACTGGATATAGTGCTGACAACACTATCCCTACAAATGTCAAGGTAACAGAAACAGGTAAATCTACTTCACTTGCTCCATGGACCGTTAAGTTTGAAAAAAAACTTTAATTTAATAACATTAATAATTAATTATTGGTCAAGAGTCAAGACCATAAACATCAGCCATTTAATTTATTATAACCAGGGGCGTATCGAGGGGGTGACACCAAGGCAAAAAATAGCAAAATATATACAGAAAGTGATAATTCCACTTAATTAAGTTATTGATTCGAGTCTTTTAAGATGTGCAAATCGAAAGTTTGAGGGGGGGGGGGGGGGTGGGGAACAAATCGAAATTTGAAAGTTTGTCCACGGGAAGGGTCGCTACGCCTCTGGGGGGTGACACTATTATGTGCCGCACCGGGTGACACCCGACCTCGCTACGCCACTGATTATAACCTTGCGCCTAACCTGATTTAATGTATAACATTGTAACATCACCCCAATTTGTCTATATTTAAGTAATTAATTAGTTTTAACCGTCAAATTATTAGCTTACTGTTTCTTCCGACAGACGCAGCAGTAGGTCAAGATGGCTACTGCCACAATGATGGCCACAGCCGTGACGCAGGCGAAGACGATAAGGACGATGATGGCGGTGTTGAGGTCGGAGCTGGAGCTAGTGTCGGAGTAGGGCGCGACCTTGGTGACCGCGAAGGTGGCGTCTGACACCCCGCTGACAGGTGTGCCGTCAGGTGAGGCTTGCAGGTACTGGCATGTGTCAGAAGACGAACGTGTTTAAAAGTAGAATAACATCAGCGTAATGAAAACACCACAGTTATACATTTAAACTTTCCCCTTTTTTTTATCCATTCAGTGTTATATATTTTCTAAGGCAAACACCCTGCTATCATATAACATTACTTGGACCTGCCTGCCACCCCCCCCCCCTATCACATGCATTCAGGTACTGCAAACAAAAATATTTTTTTGTTTTAAGTTACTGGATAATTTAGAGAAAAATAACTGAATTCTCTAAGTTGTATCTTTTAAATACATTTTTAAATACATTTTCAAATTCTAGCACTTAATCATCAACACACCCATATTTTATGCATATTTTAACTTGTAACTTTACCCTAACCCTAACCTCTCTGCTAGTGATAAAAAAGACACTAATCTGAGTAAGGACTAAATACAGGTACATACCAGCAGTGACGTGAAAATACAAACAACCAAAAAACACAATAAAACACAAAAATTAGCCGACCCGGATTTTCATAAATCCTAATAGAGATTGTGATAAACAAAATAATAAAAAGAACCCCAAAGAAACAAAAAATCGTTTTATATTATATTAAGAAAAAAAAATCAATAAATTAATTCAACAAGGCGAATCGATCAGCACCACTAGCTAATCTCTGATCGGTGGCTTCAGTTCTTTGACTCGGGTTGTATGTTAGACAAGGATCCATATATTAGCATTGCATTAACTACTTACATTGATTACTTACATTAATTATTTAATTTACTTAAACCGGACTCAGTAATGTCAGTTAATGAATTAATAGTATGTTAAAGTTGATTAAGTAACTAATTAATTACTCACAGGCAGAGCCTGTCCCTGGGTTAAAAATGTTTTGGTCATGTCCACGTTGTTGATGTCGTTAGCCGCCTGGTCGGCTTGTACCACAACCAGCGCCACAGACCTGGGAACAGCAACATTTTATCAGTTCACGACATCAACATTTTATGAGTTCACGACAGCAACATTTTATCAGTTCACGACATCAACATTTTATGAGTTCACGACATCAACATTTTATCAGTTCACGACATCAACATTTTATGAGTTCACGACATCAACATTTTATGAGTTCACGACATCAACATTTTATCAGTTCACGACATCAACATTTTATGTGTTCACGACATCAACATTTTATGAGTTCACAACATCAACATTTTATGAGTTCACGACAGCAACAATTTTTGAGTTCACGACATCAACATTTTATGAGTTCACGACATCAACATTTTATGAGTTCACGACATCAACGTTTTATGAGTTCACGACATCAACATTTTATGAGTTCACGACATCAACATTTATGAGTTCACGACAGCAACATTTTATGAGTTCACGACATCAACATTTTATGAGTTCACGACATCAACATTTATGAGTTCACGACATCAACATTTTATGAGTTCACGACATCAACATTTATGAGCTCACGACATCAACATTTTATGAGCTCACGACATCAACATGCTAAACGCATGAAAAAAGTGCATGTGTAGCCCAGTGGCGTAGCGAGGTCGGGTGTCACCCAGTGCGGCACTTAATGGTGTCACCCCCAGAGGCGTAGCGACCCTTCCTGTCGACAAATTTTTGATTTGCACCCCCTTAAACTTTCGATTTGCACCCTCCCCCCCCCCCCCCAAGTTTTCGATTTGCACCCCCCCCCCCTCAAACTTTCGATTTGCACCCCCCTCAAGTTTTTCTCTATATATTTTGCTATTTTTTGCCTTGGTGTCACCCCCCTAAATGGTGTCACCCGGTGCGGTCCGCACCCCCCACCTCCCTTCGCTACGCCTCTGGTGTAGCCCATGACTGCTATTCACAAGAGCCACGTAAATGGTATCGCGCTTTTACATGTGACTACAACAAAACTAGACCATGTATGATTGTGTGATGTTGTGTATTTGACCACATGACTACAACACAACTGGACCGTGCGTGTTGTATCTGGTATGTATCTGATCACGTGACAACCATATTACTAGACCATGGATGCTGTATCTGGTATGTATCTAATCACGTGACAACCATAACACTAGACCGTGGTTGATGACGTACTCAGATGCCAGCAACCTCCTCCTGGTTGTCGTGGATGTGGTTGACTGGATGTCCCAGATGACAACCCGATAAGGGCTGGGATAAAATGTCTGCAGGTGATCTCGAAATTTGGACCTGAGAAATTCATTAGATTGGTTTTTAGTTTATAGGATAACATATAAACGTAGATCTAATTTCTTAGGAGAAGAAAGAGAAAGCGGCAGAAATAAAGAGGCGTGTGTATTCCTTTTGATTTTAAGTAAAACCAAACTTAAAATACTTTTTAAACATATTTAGAGAAAAATTCTTTCAGAGTGATTTTTTCTTAGTTTTTACAAATATGTACCTTATTTCATTGAACACCCACCAAACACCAAACAACTTTTAACGACCATCATTTTACTCAATACAGCAAGTACCAATAACTTTAATAATCTATCATTTAACTAAGCATCCAACAAACACGAACTAACTTTACCAAATCTTAATTTAGCTAAACATTTAATTAAACGCAAGACAACTTTAACAAACTGTCTAAACACCAAACACACACCAACTTTAACAATTCATCATTTAACACAACCACCAACAAACACAAAACGATTCTAACAATCCATCCTAATAATCCAACAAACACGAACCAACTTTAAAGAAAATCGTTTAACTAAACATCCAACAAACACCAGCCAGTGAACTCTAACAATCCTTCATTTAACAATGCAACCAGGAAACACAAACCAATTTTAACAATTCTTCACCATCCAACAAACATTAATCAAGATTAACAATCCATCATTAAACGCAAGTTCCAACAAACACCAACCAACTTTAACAATACATAATTCAACTTAAAATCCAATAAACACCAACTTACATTTAAGACAACACCCAACAAACACCAGCCACTGTAGCTATTCATTATTTAATATTGAAAAAACACTAACCAACTCCAAGATCCCATCTTTTAAGAACCAACAAAGACAAACTAACTTTGAAAATCCATAATTTAACACAAAACCCAACAAACACCAACTAACTTCAACTAATCCATCATTTAACTCAACATTCAACAAACACCACCCAACAATAACAATCCATCATTTAACTCAACATCCAACAAACACCAAAAACTTTAACAATCCATCATTTAACACAACATTCAACAAACACTAACATTAACAATCCATCATTTAACACAAAACCCAACAAACACCAACTAACTTCAACTAATCCATCATTTAACTCAACATTCAACAAACACCACCCAACAATAACAATCCATCATTTAACACAACACCCAACAAACACCAAAAACTTTAACAATCCATCTTTTAACCCAACATCCAACAAACACAAGACCAGCAGACCTCACCTCTTGGCCTCTAGACTGGCCTGGTCCATGGCCACCACCACAGCAATCACGTGCTTGTGTTTGATGAACGTGTCCAACCTAACCACGCCCACATTGGCGGTGCTGCCCTGGGGGGTGGAGGTGGTGAGTATCACCCACTGGAAGTAGCGGCTGTTCTCGTAGATGTCTTTAACCATGTTGATTGTCATCACACCAGATCTAACGTGTGCAGGTATTGGTGTAGAGTTAGGCAATTGCTGACACATTAAGTTTACTGACTAGAAACTACAGCACTAGCATGCTCGCTTTTACTATAGTAACCAGCGTTTATTCCAGACTTTTTTCTCCGGGGGGGGGGGGGGGATTTGATATTTTTAGAAGGGGGGGGGGCGGACACTGGTAAAAGTATATGTTTTCTATATAAATTCTATTTCGTTCGGGCGTGGCGGTAGACTTTCTTCGGGGGGGGGGGGGAGAGCTGCCCCGAAGAGATGCCTGGAAGAAGCTCTGATAGTAACCCAGTCACTATAATCATTAGGTCTCAACCGTCCCGTTCCATCTTCAGTTATTTGGTCACAATGATCCCAATTCATCTCATTTTTTTAGCAGGCAAGTCACAAACATCCCACCCCATCTTCACCAAATCAATAACAACAATCCCATATTTTGCTGTGTACAGCTTTTCGTCCCGCACGGCCGCACACACACACACACACACACACACACACAATTATTTACAGCCACTAGAGTCGTAGATGTTGAAGAAAATAGTTTTAAAAAATACTTCGGTGTAGTAAAAAAACAAACACAAAAAAACCGTCACACGTGGAAAATTTTTCACCACATTTTACATTGTCACCTTCTTGCTAAAAACTGAGTTTACAAATATAACTTAAATTTAAAGTAAATAAAATAAAGTAAACAAAATATATTTTACACGTCTACTTCACATTTGTAACCAAATCAGTTAACTAGAGCTTCACTTACTGATCTATGTTGAATACATTAGCGCCTATCGAGGCAAAAACAGCACTTTGGATGGTCGCAGGATCTTTGCCAAAATCTTGCAGCGTCAGTTTACAGACAAGATCTCCTTGACTTATTGTGCTGGGGAACTCGTGGGAGACGTAGGACGTAGTCTCGAAAGCTGGGGGACAAAAAAGGGAAAATTGTGGGAGATGTAGGACGTAGTCTCGAAAGTTGGGGGACAAAAAAGGGAAAATTGTGGGAGATGTAGGACATATTCTCGAAAGTTTGGGGAGAGTATTGGAGGTTTGTATAAAATGTATTGTTATCCAATAGTCTAATGGACTCTACTCCAGTTCATTTCAGAGTTATCTCTCTTAGATGGGTTGTTGCCCCCAGCTAACAATCCTCATCTAAGAGATAACCCTGAGCCCCTTTAGATATATTTTTTTATATACAAAGGGGGACGGGGGTACGAATTTGTGTGTGGTATCGGTCCACAATTAAAATACAATACCACCGCTTTACATATCGTTCGTCTATATATTGAAAAAAAATAGAATGGGCACAATGACATTTACTGTGGTGGTCAGTAAACAGCGTCAAACTGCTTTACATATAGCATGACAATACACAGATATTAACAGAGGGGCAATAGTATATTTATGGTGGTGGTCATCAAAAATAAATCCAGTCCTAACACAAGACCTACTCGAATTTGAAGCAGTCTCCTTCACATCCGCAACCGTCACTGTGACGGTCCCCGTTGACGACAGTTTTGGGGCCCCACGGTCTGTGGCCACAATGTACACCACCACAGTTGGGGCGACGTCGTGATTCAGGGCCTGCTTCAGTGTTAGATCGCCGGCTGAATCGATGGAGAAATACACGCTGCCGATGGGGGTCAGAGGTGAAATGGATAGATCCACCTCGCTGTTGACCCCCGGGCCGTCCTTATCCGTCACGCCCACCCGGCCGATGACGTGACCACTGGCCAGGTGCTCGACGGTTGTTATTTGTAAAGTAGAACTGTCAAAAGTTGGGGCGTTGTCGTTTTGGTCCATCACTTCAACGACGACGTACTGTGAATGAAAGTAAAAAGGTAATTTGTAATATTTAATATTAAAATTGTTAGTAGATGATCACTGTTTTGTGCTATAATCCAGTGATTTATTCGTATTAAAAATAATTTTAAACGTATTTAAATGTAGCATGCGCTACCGATAACAAGAAAGTCATGCAATTTTTAAATCAACTTATGTGTATGTCCTGACTCCCCAACCCACCTGTTCTACCAAACATACCTGCCCAGTGTATGTCCTACTCCCCAACACACCTGTGCTACCAAACATGCCTGCTCAGTGTATGTCCCTAACTCCCCAACCCAACCCACCTGTACTACCAAACATACCTGCCCAGTGTATGTCCCTAACTCCCCAACCCAACCCACCTGTACTACCAAACATACCTGCCCAGTGTATGTCCCTAACTCCCCAACCCAACCCACCTGTACTACCAAACATACCTGCCCAGTGTATGTCCCTGACTCCCCAACCCAACCCACCTGTACTACCAAACATACCTGCCCAGTGTATGTCCCTAACTCCCCAACCCAACCCACCTGTACTACCAAACATACCTGCCCAGTGTATGTCCCTGACTCCCCAACCCAACCCACCTGTACTACCAAACATACCTGCCCAGTGTATGTCCCTAACTCCCCAACCAACCCACCTGTACTACCAAACATACCTGCCCAGTGTATGTCCCTGACTCCCCAACCCACCTGTGCTACCAAACATACCTGCCCAGTGTATGTCCCTAACTCCCCAACCAACCCACCTGTACTACCAAACATACCTGCCCAGTGTATGTCCCTGACTCCCCAACCCACCTGTGCTACCAAACATACCTGCCCAGTGTATGTCCCTAACTCCCCAACCAACCCACCTGTACTACCAAACATACCTGCCCAGTGTATGTCCCTAACTCCCCAACCAACCCACCTGTACCACCAAACATACCTGTTCAGTGTATGTCCCTAACTCCCCAACCCACCTGTGCTACCAAACATACCTGCCCAGTGTATGTCCTGACTCCCCAACCCACCTGTGCTACCAAACATACCTGCCCAGTGTATTCCCTAACTCCCCAACCCACCTGTACAACCAAACATACCTGTTCAGTGTATGTCCCTAACTCCCCAACCCAACCCACCTTTACTACCAAACGTACTTGCCCAGTGTATGTCCCTAACTCCCCAACCCACCTGTGCCACGAAACATACCTGCCCAGTGTATGTCCTCACTCCCCAACCCACCTGTACTACCAAACATACCTGCCCAGTGTATGTCCTCACTCCCCAACCCACCTGTACTACCAAACATACCTGTTCAGTGTATGTCCTAACTCCCCAACCCACCTGTACTACCAAACATACCTGCCCAGTGTATGTCCTCACTCCCCAACCCACCTGTACTACCAAACATACCTGCCCAGTGTATGTCCTCACTCCCCAACCCACCTGTACAACCAAACATACCTGTTCAGTGTATGTCCCTAACTCCCCAACCCAACCCACCTGTACTACCAAACATACCTGTTCAGTGTATGTCCCTGACTCTCCACTCCACCTGTGCTACCAAACATACCTGCCCAGTGTATGTCCTCACTCCCCAACCCACCTGTACTACCAAACATACCTGTTCAGTGTATGTCCTAACTCCCCAACCCACCTGTACTACCAAACATACCTGCCCAGTGTATGTCCCTAACTCCCCAACCCACCTGTGCTACCAAACATACCTGCCCAGTGTATGTCCCTGACTCCCCAACCCACCTATACTACCAAACATACCTGCCCAGTGTATGTCCTCACTCCCCAACCCACCTGTACAACCAAACATACCTGTTCAGTGTATGTCCCTGACTCTCCACTCCACCTGTGCTACCAAACATACCTGCCCAGTGTATGTCCCTGACTCTCCACTCCACCTGTGCTACCAAACATACCTGTTCAGTGTATGTCCCTGACTCTCCACTCCACCTGTGCTACCAAACATACCTGCCCAGTGTATGTCCCTAACTCCCCAACCCACCTGTTCTACCAAACATACCTGCTCAGTGTATGTCCCTGACTCTCCACTCCACCTGTGCTACCAAACATACCTGCCCAGTGTATGTCCCTGACTCCCCAACCCACCTGTACTACCAAACATACCTGCCCAGTGTATGTCCCTGACTCTCCACTCCACCTGTGCTACCAAACATACCTGTTCAGTGTATGTCCCTAACTCCCCAACCCACCTGTTCTACCAAACATACCTGCCCAGTGTATGTCCCTAACTCCCCAACCCACCTGTACCACCAAACATACCTGCCCAGTGTATGTCCTGACTCCCCACCTGTACTACCAAACATACCTGCCCAGTGTATGTCCTCACTCCCCACCTGTACTACCAAACATACCTGCCCAGTGTATGTCCTCACTCCCCACCTGTACTACCAAACATACCTGCCCAGTGTATGTCCTCACTCCCCACCTGTACTACCAAACATACCTGCCCAGTGTATGTCCTCACTCCCCACCTGTACTACCAAATATACCTGCCCAGTGTATGTCCTCACTCCCCACCTGTACTACCAAACATACCTGCCCAGTGTATGCCCTACTCCCCAACCCACCTGTACTACCACACATACCTGCCCAGTATATGTCCCTGATGTGTCCAAGACCTCCACGACCAACTGGTAGATGTCAAAATCCTCCCTGTCCAATATTTTGTTTGTCTTCAGCAGCCCAGACCTTGTTGTCGCATCTTTTATTATGGAGAAACTTTTCGCGTAGTTGCCGCTACTGTTGGAAACAACAGAAACCAATAAACTCATTCTACTTCTTTTGCAATATTAGGTTTGCTAAGATATATATTGCATGCACAAGATATGAAAGTTAGATGGTTTTCTCAGACTTCGTATTTAATGATGTCTCTTGAAAAAAAGGTTTTATAAACTACAACGTTTTAAATGTCTGCAACTGGAATACTAAAAGACTAAGTTACAATTTACCAGAATATATCAGAAGTGGGTTAATATTATGGAAAAATATTTTAACGGCTTTACGGCTTTTCTACCGACTAATTTAAACAAGTTTGGAAATAAACTCAGTAACAGAATATTAGTAAAAACCATTTTTATAGTACATTCATTCATCATTAAATAGAAATCAAATTCCGACAAATATATATATATATATATATATATATATATATATATATATATATATATATATATATATATATATATAGTTATACGTCATTGATTATAATTTTCTTGTAATCAAATTGAAGCTGCTAAACATAAAACAAAATTTGATAGGCCATAAAAAAGATATGGATAGTCTATGTTCGTTTCTGAGTTAACAAAGGAAAATTCAATTATACGCGTAAGATATATTTATTTTATAAGTAATTTTATAAATTTAATGTGTTCTTTTGTTGCTGTTTTTTTTTAATCAGACGGAGTTAATAGATCTAATACAAAATAGAAGCCTTTAAATTTTACTCACGTGATCTTGTACCCGTTGACCGTCACGGGAGCGTTTGCTAGTATCGTCCCCACGTAGGTCCCAACCGGCAAGTTCTCCTTCACAGAGAAGCTGTAGTCACCAGAGGGCGGGCTGAGCACGGGCGTCAGTGTAATCCCGAGAGTCAGAGTGCCGGTCAAAGCCGGCAATCCCCGGTCGATTCCGTACACAATCAAATTCTGGTACTGATTCGCCTTGTCCAGAGCTGCAGCTGTTTTTACGACACCTGTGGCGACATCGATGCTGAATAACCCGTCGTCGTTTCCGCTTTTGATGACGTATCTAACGACGCCATTTTGTCCGGCGTCCCGGTCGACGGCCGAAGCCGTGAAGACCGGCGTCGATACCCGCGTGTCTCTGTCCACGGCGATATCGACTACGTGGGTATCGAAGTACGGGACGTAATCGTTCTCGTCCAGTACATTCACCGTGACCTGCGCCGTGCCGGATAAACCCCCAGAATCCACTGCGGCTACGGTGAGCGTGTATTTACGGACGGATTCATAATCTAAGTGAAGATTAAGCTGAAGCGCCCCCGTGTTGTCTATGATGAAGGTGTTGTAGACGTTGCCACTGATAATTTTATAACCGCTAATCCCGTTAGCGGCTGAGTCTAAGTCTGTCGCCCATACGCTGAAAAACGTTTCCTTAGTCGATAGCGTTTCCGGAATTGTGACGTCATACGTGGTGACGGTAAACACCGGGGCGTGGTTATTGCTGTCCTTGACCGATATGAGAACCAGACAGCTCGAGCTGAGGCTGTTGACCCCGGCGTTATCCGTTGCTATGACGACCAAGTTGTAGCTCGCGGTTGTGGAGTATTCCAGCGCGTCGTTTAATATGACTCTACCGGAAGTATCAATAATAAAAGTAGAACTCGGAGTTAAGTTGTAGGTCACTGTACCGTATAACCCAAGGTCATCATCTGTGACTAAAACTTGACCAACAGCCGTGCCGACAGCCGCTGTTTCGTCGACAACCCACGAGTAGACGACGCTAGAAAACATAGGGGCGTGGAGATTAACTTGGAGAACTGTTATCGTTAAAGTGAACTCGTCAGAAACCGAGATGTTCTTGATGTTTCTTGCGGTAACCACGAGATTATACACGGACGCTCTAGAGTAGCTCAGTGGTCCAGCCAGTTGTATCCCTCCGCTTAACCCCTCAACGTTAAACGTCGAGTTGGAGTTCCCGCTTTTAACCGAGTAGATCAAGTCCCCGTCTTGGTTTTCTCTCGCGCCCGCGGCCGTGGCGTCTAGATCGTACAGCATGGACCCGGGAGTTCGCGTCTCCTCCACGGAAATCGTATCCGAATTCGGGACGAATTTCGGAGGTTTGACCTCGGGTTCCACCAACACCGTGACGTAAGCGCTGGAGCTCCGCTGCGGGTTTCCGGCATCGGTTGCCATGACAACCAGAGTGTAGGTGTCTTGTACGTTCGCGTCAAGTCTGGTAGATGTCGTTAAAGACGAGCCAGTGATGGTAAAAGCACTTCCGTTGTTTCCTGATACAATAGACAGGGTTAGGTCGGCGTTCGAACCTTCGTCTGGGTCTGTTACGCTGAGAATTTCAACTACTACACCAGGAGGGGTGCCGTGCGGTGTTGTAAATGCCAAATTTCCCGTCCCAAACTGCGGGTCGTTGTCGTTGACGTCAGAGACGGTGATGATCACATGCGTCGTGTTGGACTGTCCGTTTACATTCGTTACCCTGACGTCAAAAATAACCGACGGGTTTGTTTCTCTATCCAGCTCGTAGTTCAAATACACATCGCCGAGCCGCTCGTCTATAGAGAAACTCCCCGCCACGCTCTCGTTAGCTAGCGAATACCTCAAGTCAGTTTCCCCCGCGGGGTCCCCAGCTGTGATATGCAAAACATTGGCCCCCACGGCAGTGTTTTCTGACAGGGTCAAGGTTGTTGTGTACCCTGGGGATATCACGATCGGCCTCGGTTCGTTCTCGTTCACTACCGTAACAAACACAATCGTCGTACTGCTGAGCTGAGGCGTGCCTTGATCTACTGCAAGTAGAGTTAACGAATATCCAGGTGTTTGCTCGAAATTCAACGCTTTTTGTAGAATAAGATTCCCGGAATTCGGATCGTAGATGAAAGTGTTGTCTGTGTTTCCGGAAATGATGGAGTATTTGATGACAGCGTTATCCCCGAAGTCGGAATCCTTTGCTGTGATAGTTTTAACCGTTGTTGGGTATGCAAGACTTTCTGATAGAGAAATAGAATAGAAACTGTTTGAAAATTTCGGAGCGTTGTCGTTGCAGTCTAAGACAGTGATGGCGAGCGTGCTGGTGGTGACCAGACCGGAGGGTGTGGTTGCTGTTAAACCAAGCGTGAAAGACGATGACGTTTCTCTGTCCAGCTCACGGACCAGTCTCAGAGTGCCTAAAGTTTGGTGGAGGTTGAAATACCCTGCGTCATTTCCGGTTTTAATAGCGTAATTAATGAACTCGAATGTTCCGGTGGCCGTAACGTTGTATAAGATTTGTGATAAGCTGGCGTTTTCGTAGATGTTTATTCCTGTCGGTAAACTGGTGAATTTGAGATTTGTTCTGATGCTGATCTTGACAGCAAGTGTTGAGGTTAGTGAAGGATCGCCGCTGTCGGAAATTTCGTAAAGTATCTTATACACCCCGACTGTCTGGTCGTCTAAAAAGTTGAGTTTAATTGTACCGTCTAGAGAATTAACGCTGAATATGTCCGTAGGATCGCCGCCAACTTCTCTATAACTCAAAGTTTTACCGGTCAAATCGGCGTCGGAGCAGGAGAGTTTGACCACAGGACTAGTCAGGCTGAACGGTGCCGTTATAACCACTGGCACCACGGGTTGGCATAAAGGCGGGTTGTCGTTGACATCCACGATATTGACCCTCAGAGTTGTTGTTCCTGTCCGTTTGGTCGTCTTTGACTGGTCAACTGCTAGAATGACCAGATCGTAGTGGTCAGTGACCTCAGCGTTGATTCCAGAAGATGCGCTCAGCATGCCTGTTTCCTGTTTGAGAATGAATGGCACATTTGGGTCTTGTAGGTAATACAGAACTTTCCCGTCGTCGCCGTGGTCGGCGTCGGTGCTTGATACTTGCACAATTTCTGTCCCTGTAACAAAAAGTGTACACTTAATCTTTGGTAAGCTTGTATTTCTTCTACTTAGTCCCGTTCGTGCACAAGACACATGGGGCAGTTGGAGTAGAGTTCATCTGATTCGTTGACCTCGGCAAATGAAGGGATAGTGTGGTCAGCACTATGCACAGCCGCTTTAGTTTCCCTAATCTAAGTTAGGTACCCATCAGAGCTGGGTGAACTCAGGGACGTTCCATTGATTAGAACCCGGATTCGAACTTGTACTATACAGCTGATGTTATGTAGAGACAATCAAACTTACATTTTTTTTTACTTTTTATAAATGGAATTTAATACGCGATGTCATTGCCGTTATTCAAACTCATAACAAAAATCATGTATTAACATATTCTTTCTAAGATTCAAACTGTTCCGAGCAGTGGCGGAACTAGAAAAATAGGGCCACCCCGCAAAAAAATTTTTAGGCCCCCCATATATATATATATAAATATATATATATATATATATATATATATATATATATATATATATATATATATATATATATATATATATATATGTATGTATGTATGTATGTATGTATGTATGTATGTATGTATATATATATATATATATATATATATATATATATATATATATATATATATATATATATATATATATATATATATATATATATATATATATATATACAAACTCAGAATGCGAACATAGGATACTCATTACTGGCCTGTTCGGGTTTTGAAAAAACAATGTTTTTTTTCTAAAAGTTAAAACACATTACTATATCATGTCAAGTGAGTAAGTGCATTAGTGTGTTTTGAGAAAATCATTTTTTTTCATCTGCGCTATAGGTCCTTTAAACATTAAGTCGTTCAAAAGAATATAAAACATGAAAGCTTTGTAGAAGTAATGGTGTCTCGTGTTATAATTATTTTTATGTTTTTTTGTATTTAGATTATTAATTTTAAATACATTTCCTTTTTATACAATGTCATTCTTTAGTTAGTATTTTATAAAAAAAATTATAAGTAAGAGATGTAATTGCTTTCTAATTCGTTTAGTACAAATCTATTAAAAGAAACTTATGAGCACCCCTATTTGACTATTTAAAAAAGGGAAATAAGTCATGGAAGTGGTTTGAACGTTTGCTTATCTTTGATAAGTTTGATTGTAGGAGAAAGAGTGGGGTGGTGTCTATAGAATAAAGGTAATAAAACCGCAGCTACCGTAATCGTTTTACAAAACAACCATTAAGTCAAAAATGCAAGAAAATTAGATTTTTTTTAAACTATAAAAAAAATCTATTATGGTCGGCTGTGGGCCCCTAAATGGCGTGGGCCCCCCCCCCGCATTGCGGGGTCTGGCGGCACTGTAGTTCCGCCCCTGGTTCCGAGCCCCGTTCTTTAAGCTGGTAGAACGCAACAGCATTAGAAATCTAGCAATACTAGGAACTAATGTTAGATTCGTTTTAGTCTTATGTTCCACTTGGCTTTTAGTTCCTAGGTGCATCGCGCCAGATGGTATAGAAGTGAGTTGGGAGGGTGTGGGGTTGGGGGGGGGGGGGGGGTTCTGTCAAATATTCACATACTGCCTCTAGCTTAGGTTTCGAACGCGTGACTTACTGGTTCTTTAGCTGATACACGTCGACCTATTCATATCTTATACTATCAACTCTATCAAACCCTACCTGGATCAATGTTCTCTAGAATATTCTGCGCTGCCAACGCCTTGAGCACGGGGGTAAATTCGTTGACCGGAAGTACTTTTATGTTGACGAAGGTCTGCGAGGTCAAGGACGGCGTGCCCTCGTCGGCCGCCTGCACCAGCACTAGAAAAATGGTGTCCTGCTCGTAATCGACGGAGCCAGTCAGAGTTACGGCCCCGCTGTTGGCATCGATAGCGAAAGTAGAATCTGGAATAGAGAGAATAGACAAATCGGATAAAATTAAACATTCAACTATGCTAAATTAAGAGATTTTGTTTAAAAAACTGGTTATAGTAAGTTAACATGCAATGACATGTGCAAATAATCCTCTATAATTATTATTAGCTTTCAATTGAATTTTTTTCAAACGGCATGGTTTTAAAGTATTTCATAAATAACTTAAGTTACTATTTTACCCATTTATAACATATGGCCTATGAATATAGGGTTTAATAGCTTTTTATTTTGATAAGATCTCAAATGAATTTCTAATAACTTTCTGATGTTGGAAGTCAGACAACTTACTGTCCGTCAGACTATTTACTGTCCGTCATACAACTTACTGTCCGTCAAACTATTTACTATCCGTCATTCAACTTACTGTCCGTCAGACTATTTACTATCCGTCATTCAACTTACTGTCCGTCAGACTATTTATTGTCCGTCATTCAACTTACTGTCCGTCAAACTATTTACTGTCCGTCATTCAACTTACTGCCCGTCAGACTATTTACTGTCCGTCATTCAACTTACTGTCCGTCATACAACTTTCTGTCCGTCATTCAACTTACTGTCCGTCAAACTATTTACTGTCCGTCATTCAACTTACTGTCCGTCAGACTATTTATTATCCGTCATTCAACTTTCTGCCGTCATTCAACTTACTGTCCGTCAAACAACTTACTGTCCGTCAGACTATTTATTATCCGTCATTCAACTTTCTGTCCGTCATTCAACTTACTGTCCGTCAGACTATTTACTGTCCGTCATTCAACTTACTGTCCGTCAGACTATTTACTGTCCGTCATTCAACTTACTGTCCGTCAGACAACTTTCTGTCCGTCATTCAACTTACTGTCCGTCAAACTATTTACTGTCCGTCATTCAACTTACTGTCCGTCAGACTATTTATTATCCGTCATTCAACTTTCTGCCGTCATTCAAGTTACTGTCCGTCAAACAACTTACTGTCCGTCAGACTATTTGCTGTCCATCATTCAACTTACTGTCCGTCAAACTATTTACTGTCCATCATTCAACTTACTGTCCGTCAGATAACTTACTGTCCGGCATTCAACTTACTGTCCGTCAAACAACTTACTGTCCGTCAGACTATTTGCTGTCCATCATTCAACTTACTGTCCGTCAAACTATTTACTGTCCGTCATTCAACTTATTGTCCGTCAGACTATTTATTAACTGTCCGTTATTCAACTTACAGTCCGTCATTCAACTTTCTGTCCGTCATTCAAATTACTGTCCATCATACACCTTACTGTCCGTCATTCAACTTGCTGTCTGTCAGACTATTTATTAATTGTCCGTCATTCAACTTACTGTCCGTCATACAACTTACTGTCCATCATTCAACTTACTGTCCGTCATACAACTTACTGTCCGTCATACAACTTACTGTCCGTCATACAACTTACTGTCCGTCATACAACTTACTGTCCGTCATACAACTTACTGTCCGTCATACAACTTACTGTCCGTCATACAACTTACTGTCCGTCACACAACTTACTGTCCGTCATACAACTTACTGTCCGTCATACAACTTACTGTCCGTCATACAACTTACTGTCCATCATTCAACTTACTGTCCGTCAAACTATTTATTATCCGTCATTCAACTTACTGTCCGTCAAACTATTTACTGTCCGTCATTCAACTTACTGTCCGTCAAACTATTTACTGTCCGTCATTCAACTTACTATCAGGCATGCTGTATTTAAAGATCCCGTTCAGTCCGTACTCGTACTCCACGGCCTTAACATTCATGACAAAGGTTCCAGCCACGGCATTTTCTACAACACTTCCTTCAAACAAGTACTGGGGAGATAAACAATTTAATTTTTTTTTAAGTCCTTCGTGAGATCTGTCATTGTGATGTTTTGTAACAAATAACGGTTGCAACAAATTTAACCACAACGAATAAGTGTTAGGACCCTAGCTAACAAAATGTTTGATATTATTTTTATCAAGAATACGTGTGTTACTAAAAATAAACAGTTTATAACAGTACAAAATGAAATAAAACTTTAAAAAAAAACTTTTGTTGAAAAGAAAGATAACAAGCATTCGCTGTTGTATTATTTCAAACAGGAAATTTTAGCACAGTGATTCCTCTTGTTGACAAATAACCACGTAAACAAGGCGATATACACACTCATCAAATACACGCCTTTCCTCACATTCACACATAGACACTCACACACATACAAACACACACACCCGCACACATGTGTATATATTATAAAAGTTTGCTCAAAATACAGAATAATAACTGTCAGAAGATTATACTATGTATAAATATCACCAGAGGCGTAGCGACCCTTCCGGGCGCCCGGGGACGAACTTTTCGATTTGCACCCCCCCCCCCCCCCCCCTCAACATTTCGATTTGCACCCCCCCCCCCTTCGAACTTTAGATTTGCACCCCCTCAACCTTTCAATTTAATTTTTCCAACCCATTTTGGCGCCCCCTAAGGTCGGCGCCCGGAGACATATGTCCGCCCCCCCCCTCGCTACGCTACTGATGCTTAAATACTAATAAAAACTCTGGGGTGAAATTCGTTCATCTGCGTATTATCCGACATAGAGTTTTACTTTTGTAAATATAACTGTTTTGAACGCCAAACATAGGGACGGCGTGGCTGAATGGTACAGCGTTTACTTACAGTCCCGAAAGTCTTGAGTTCGAATCTTGGTTCGGACTTGTAACTGCAAGTCCAACAAGCCGAGATCTAGTAACATAAACTCCAATTCATCTACACAAATAATGTCGTTGTCTTCAACGTTTTTAATTTTAGTGTTGGAATCGAGTCCCTGAAACACAATGTCATCTGGTTATGCGCCATTTTGGCCGTTGACTCCAATTTCAGTCTGCTTTTCTTTTTTTTTTTGCTTCGATAGCCACTGTCCAACCAAGAACAAAGTACTGATTTTGGAATTGTCTCTCATAGAAGAGTTTGCTGTCCCCAGCTATCGAGCCTCATCTGCCCGAGGGTTCGAACACGAGACTTCGGTTTAGCAACCATGAGCTTTACCGACTCGACCTCGATCTCTAGGACTAAAGAGGAATCTTTCAATGACAGAGAATACTTGTATAGAATACAAAATGTCACCAATACCAAATTTGGCATGAGCTTGAATCATATGACACCTGTCATGACTCACCTTGGTAAACTCAGGGGCCCTGTCATTGATGTCATCCAGACTGATGGTCACCACAGTCTTGGACCGGTCAGCGAACTTGGTGGACGAGTACGCATAAACCTGACACGTCACATTTGGTGCCGTCTCCCAGTCCAGGAGTTCCTTCACAAAAATAGCACCTGCGGGGGGGGGGGGGGGGGGGGAAACGTTAGGTTGACATAGTTAACTGAAAACTGCGGGGGGGGGGGGGGGGGGGGTAGTTAGGTTGACACATTTAACTGTAATATGCGTGGGGGGGGGGGGGGAATCGTTAGGTTGACACATTTAACTGAAACCTCAACCCCATGACATTGTTAGCTTGACACATTTAACTTTACATTTTGAAGTCTATTGATACAATTTTTTTTTTACATTGATAGATTTTCACGACTCCCTTAAGTCTTTAGTGAAAGTAAAAGTCTGGGTAAACACTTTATTGTTGGGTAGATTTGAGATTTGAAAGGAATACTAAATACGTGCTGGAACGCATATCTACATACTGTATAGGAATAGTTAGGGTAGGACTAATATTGTGTTAATTCAACTGAGCTCGATTTAAAGTGCGCAGTCTGTAGTGGATACAACTGCTTAGAAATATAAACGAACGAGTTTTTTTGCGATTTAAAGTAACAAGCAGTGACGTATTTAAGGTGGGGTTGACATTATGTTTTGTGAAAAACAAAAGTAGAAAGGATAAGGTCAATAAAACTAGAACTTCGGAATAAAGGCAACGATTAGTTGAATAAACAAGTTGGTTAAAATATGTAGTCCAGCAAAAAATGTTTAAATTAAAACACTGAATGCAGACCAACAGTTTACTTTTGGTGTGACGGCATTGCTACTTGTACAAGACACACACTACTTAATGAAAAAGTCGACATGTTTGATGAGGATTGATAATTAGGTTTTAGCTAGCTTAAATCATTATAAACCCCGCTATACACTTTTAAACTAGTTTATACTTGCTTTACGTTTAAATCGGTAAAAACACCGCTATATGCTTAAACCCGTCTGAATTCCGCTATACGTTTACTTTAATTTAATTTATTACGATACTGTAATTACTTAACAAAACAAATGTCCCTGGAAACAATGCCATACAAAGTGACAAAAACTGTGACGTTTATCCCTAGATATCCGTTTCTACTGGGATAAGATTGCTATAGACAAGATGATGTATTACTATAACAATTAAATGCCGAATGTTTTGTCGAAGTTATTTACTTTTAAGCTTCCAATCAACATAAATTCACCATTATTGGTTGGTGTTTTATATATCAAAATACATCTGTGTCCGTATAGTTTTGTTAGATTCACATTTTATGAAATGACTAATTCTTATAGGGCCTACTAATAAATATCATGAATGATTTCTATTTTACTTGGAGAAAAATATAAGAGTGATTGCCTTTGGTGTTCTGAATCGTTCTATTCTGAAATCTTTGTATCTTTAAGGTTATTGAACTGACTTGGCCTGATACAACTATCCACTATCAACAATTTAGGACAAAAATATCCCCGAACACTTTACACCTACGCACAAGGGAGTGTACTCTAATCTCTGACCCGCCTTTCCAACCACCAGCACAATTTCCTGTTGACGCTATAGACTTGGTAATCACATCAATAAAATCAAGTTAGATTAGTTCATAGAACTTGTCATCTTTTGTTACGGCCGCTGTTTGAGTACAGCTAAATTTGTTGACTGAACATTCGCTGTATAATGAACGGATTCTAGAGAACGAGGGCCGACTAATACAATCTGACGGCTATTCATTGCTTTAAATTTAAAGTACAACTTTATTTAATTTCAAAACAGGAAACATTTTTAGAACTAATTTAAAATGCTGAGTACACAGTCCCTGTTTTTTTTTTCAAATTAGGGTAGGAAGATGTATATATTGTATTCGTCTATTTTTTACCAGTGAATGAAAGTGCAATCGTTACACTCGTATTTATGTTTAATAGTGAGTGCAATGTGATACGGATATTTATATCCGTAATATGATCAGTCCCGTTACCTCAAATATTACCTGTGCATCGAATACTATTTATCTAACAAAATCTTAGTTATAGTTAATCGATTGCATCCGTAGTTTGAGCGATCTTAAATCAGCTAATATATATTATATATAGTTATATTGATTACACATAACTTGAATAATTTATTTTACCCGTGTTTTGATAGAATACAAATTAACTAATTAGTTTACATAATTTATTGGCCGAAATAGAAACACCATATCACATGTGTATACATTGATTAGAAACTAACAAAATCCTTTCTGTAATTAACTAATTAAAACCAATCATTTATTTCTAGCTTACCTGTATATTGGTCGATCTTAAACCAGTCTTTAGAACAAGGACTCTCAAACCCGAACGTTATTCTGGAAAGTTCCGTGTTGGGGGAGTCAGCGTCAGTGGCCGACAGGTACAAAACGAGTGTACCTACGTCAGCATTTTCTCTGACTCCTGTGGAGGGAAAGACGAGTTTTCAGTGACTCTCGTTTTTATCGAGGAAAAAAACATTAACGGTATATCAAGTAACTGAGTCTTATTACTAGGGTGACACCAGTGGTTACCCTAGACATACTGACCCTGGTCCCATGACACCATGGGTTACCCTAGATCATGTCCCCACGAAACCATGGGTTACCCTAGATCATGTCCCCACGACACCATGGGTTACCCTAGACCCTGGTCCCATGACACCATGGGTTACCCTAGATCCTGGTCCCATGCCACCATGGGTTACCCTAGATCATGTCCCCCATGACACTATGGGTTAGCCTACACATACTGACCCTGGTCCCATGACACCATGGGTTACCCTAGATCATGTCCCCACGACACCATGGGTTACCCTAGATCATGTCCCCACGACACCATGGGTTACCCTAGACCCTGGTCCCATGACACCATGGGTTACCCTAGATCCTGGTCCCATGCCACCATGGGTTACCCTAGACCCTGGTCCCATGACACCATGGGTTACCCTAGATCCTGGTCCCATGCCACCATGGGTTACCCTAGACCCTGGTCCCATGACACCATGGGTTACCCTAGACCCTGGTCCCATGACACCATGGGTTACCCTAGACCCTGGTCCCATGCCACCATGGGTTACCCTAGATCATGTCCCCACGACACCATGGGTTACCCTAGACCCTGGTCCCATGACACCATGGGTTACCCTAGATCCTGGTCCCATGACACCATGGGTTACCCTAGATCCTGGTCTCATGACACCATATGTTACCCTAACTCCTGTCCCCCATGACCCCATTGGTTACATCATCTCCCTTTTCTTGTGACATCATTGTTTATCCCTGCTCTTTGTATCAACAATCCAAATAATATTTTTCTTTTTCTATTTCTTTATACTCCTTTTAAACTACATTTAGCCCCCCCCCCTAACTCTTTACTGTCAATAAATTCTTCAGTTAAACACAAGTTGGAAAAGACCTTGAATATATTAGAACCTAAAAGTAATTCCCCTGTAGTATCAAGTTAGCACGTTGGGCCTACGTGTTTGTACTGATAACCCCTAATAATAGGACACCGATGGTGCACTAAAAAACATTAAGTATTCACTAAATACCCACCTGCTCTCAATATACAAGACGTAAAAGACAGACTTGGACTTAGACCGTAATGGTGAAAGTGCTTTACCTAGACCACCTATCACGTTCAGTATCACGTGACAAGACTTACCTAAGTGTAAATACGGACTTATTAGCTAATGGATTGAACTAAATGACTTTTTACCTTTAATATCGAATCACCAAAATACCTGCTTGCTAGCAATCTATACTATGCATACACACCTAACTTAAATATAAAACACTAATTGAAGTGTACTGCCTTACCCGTTTTAGTATCAAGTCACACGCTGACCTATAACCTAAAGTTAGTGTACTATGTGTCTAATACATTATCAAGCCACCATACAACATACATACTGACAAGACCATATAACCCTAATGAAATGTACTAAGTGTCTATTCAGCAACCATACAACATAAATACTCACTAGACCATACAAACCTATTGGACATGTGCCCACCAAGCCACTATAAACCTACTTGCTGAACAGACCATACAAACCTAATGGACATGATTCTATCTAGCCACTAAAAACCTACATACTGACTACACCATACAAACCTACTTGCATACTAGACCATACAAACCTAAAGGAAATGTCTCTATCAAGCCACCATAAACCTACTTGCTTACCAGACCATACAAACCTATTAGAAATGGGCCCATCAAGCCACTATAAACCTACTTGCAGTAAAGACGCTGGGGGTGAAGACCGGGGGGTAGTCGTCACAATCCGACACCCGGAAGCCGAGCATCACCGTGGTGCTCAGGGACGGCGTGCCCAGGTCTGACACCTCCACCGTGATGTCCAGGTATCTGGCACCAAGGTCAAAGTCCAGCTGTTTGTTCAAGGTCACTTGACCCGTGGTCGTGTTGACCTTTAACGTTGAGTTGAAGTTACCTATTGGCAAAGAAAATAGTCTCGGTCATCGCATGGTATATATACATATATATATATATATATATATATATATATATATATATATATATATATATATATATATATATATATATATATATATATATATATGTATATATATATATATATATATATATATATATATATACATATATATATATATATATATATATATATATATATGTATAAATATATATAGGAGCTACCGAATGGAAACTAGATTTAGTAATCCTATTGCTTAGGGGGCTCCACTGCTGATTCCAAGTTGTACGGGTAACATCCTGTCCATTAGATCCATCAGTTGTGTGGAGAGAGAGGGGTAAGGGGCCAACATCTGGCTCTTCTCAGCTTAAGGCCCAGGGCTTTATGCTTAAATTTCTTAGGTGTCATCATCTATTTTTATATTAGACTATGAATCGATACTTCTACAGATTATTATGTATATATAGCCAAATATATATGTAAAATTGACTGTGTAGTGTATATACACATTGTGTTGATATTGGCAATCTAAATATATCTTCTTTCAATACCATTCGTTATTTGGCTGCAGTTGGCTGTCACAAACGTAAGTGAAGCGAACCTGAGATTATGAAAGGGATTTGTCAGCTGTGTGTGGGGTTTGTTCTCTGTGTTTGGGATTTGTTCGCTGTGTTTGGGGTTTATTTACAACGAGCAAGCCCGACTGAACTCTCTGTATATGTCTTCTAATCTTGTCTTTGCAATTTCATGCTATAATATGTTAATGTATGCACCTCGGGAATGCTCAATATGGACTGTATGCACGCATGGTTTTTGTACGTTTAGAATATTTATTTTTCCCTTGTATCAATTTGCGATGAATTTAATTTGGAAAGTTTTCAGAATTTAAAAAATAACAAGGTGTTTTATATGATATGCCTACATTTCACAGTGGCATAACTTAAGATTTAGTAGTTTCCACAGAGATAAAATATTGTGATAGAAAGGACGAATAAGAAAAGGAATGATGAGCTCAGTTTCTTCTTCTTCTTCGTTCTTAATTTTTAGTGTTGGGAGGGATCGAGCCTTATCTGCCAGAGGGTTCGAACTCGAGACTTTTTCAGTTTAGCAACCATGAGCTTTACCGACTCGACCACGCCGACTCCTAAGTGCTCAGTTTAAAAAATAACATGATTAATAAAAGTTGAGAATATTTAAAGACAAATTTTTAAAAAAAAATCCTCATACAATAGCTACGACGTTGTCTAGTGAAGTGTACCTGCAATGATTTTATAATTGACGACCCCACTTTTGTTGATGGTATCGACGTCAGAGCAGACGATTGTTTCTAGCACCGTGTTGAGGGCAGTGACCTCTTCTACGTCACGGATGATGTTGTAGGAACTGCAGTTCTGGGATAAAATATTCAGTGTTGTAGTATAGGACACATATATTTTAGGGCATATTTTAAGACATGACGTGACAAATATGCTGGCAAAGGGTAAACGATTGAACGAGTATATTGTAAAAATGTTGAAAGCTATGGACAAATGTGCAGAAAAAATGTCAGAAAAGGGACAATTATATTGAACATTTTTAAGAAATGGGACAATTATATTGGACGAAAGTTGTAAGAAATGTAACAACTATGTTTTCAAAATTATGAACAAGCTGAATTAAAGACTGTTTATGAAAATTCTTTTTATTAGGGGCAGAGGGAGGGCACTTGAAACCTTCGGGGGGGGGGGGGGAGGGGCTATATAAATAATTCTTGGTGGGGGGGGCACTAGTTAAAGTATATAAAGTATATACTTTCAATTTAAATTCAGTTTCGTTTCGGGGGGGGGTGGAGGCAGTCAAAGAGATGACTGAAAGAAACACTACATTTACATTAAGACGGAAGCATTGAAATAGCATTATTCATCTGTATAACTCCAAGCCAATTATCGAATAAGTTTTTTTTTTTTAGAGTTGTTACATTACACCTGTTCAATCTCTCATTAACATTGACCAAAAGCTTAAGGTGGCTGGGAATTGTGCTGACTATTTTACCCACTATTAGGAACTTCATTCTTATTTTAGTTTTGAAATTATAAATGTACCGCAGTATTATTATTTCGACTGGTAATAAAGTAAAACTAAGTTTTCCTACAACATTAGAACGCCGAGTTACTATAGCCTACAAAAATACACCCCTAGCTAGTTATACTGAGTAGTATAACAACATACCGGTGCGTTATCGTTATAGTCCTGCACTGTTATGGTCAGGGTCGAGGTGCTGCTCAGGACCTTGACAGGGTCCTCGTCGTAGGCCAACAACAGTAGGACATAGGACTGGGTCCTCTCGTAGTCCAGGCTGTTGATTAGCATGAGATCACCTGTTATATAGTCCACAGCGAACTTGTTCTCAGCGTTCCCACCTGGTGAGATATTGGTAGACTGTCTGTATATATATATATATATATATATATATATATATATATATATATATATATATATATATATATATATATATATATGTTACGGTCAAAGCCCGAAGTCGGCCAATGCTAGGATTGGCCGGCCAATCCGCGCATTGGCCAATATCGCCTCCCATAGGTCGGTCAAAGTCCGAAACTTTGCTTCATTTCGGCCTTTGGCCGGCCAATCCGCAGACTGGCCATTGTGGACCGGCCAAAGTCTGAAATAGCTCTTGATTTCGGCCTTTGGCCGGCCAGTCCCGGCCAGTCCGCGGACTGGCCATGGTGGACCGGCCAAAGTCTTAATTAGAAGATCATGAGCAGATTTTGGTTTTTTTATGCCGGTAGGATCATGAAATTAAGTCTTTATTGATTATTAATTAAAGTAAATGACAGAAACATTCAAATTTTTTATTGTACTATAGTCTCAATCAATCAATATTATCATTTGTTACAACAAGTTGAACTTTTATGGCATTTAGAATTACATAGCAGCTTGTTATTTTTACACTTGCAGCGATTTGTTGTACACTTGGTTGTGCAATTGCAGCGAGTGTAGCCTTGACCCCCCAGTCAATGATTGTGAAGATGCGATGAAGATGCGATGGTTCGTAGTGATTTTTCCTCAGTGCCAACTGACGACAATAAGAGCAGTTTTTCGTGAAGAATTGAAAACTCACTTCTAGCATACAGTTGTTTTAGAACACCATGTTCCGTTCCTAATTTGTAGAAACCGCCCTCGACGCTCATGACAACTGCAATCACGCTTCGGGGATCACCGCGACCTCTGTCAACATCTGGAACACGGATGCCTACATTGTCACCCACTTCACCATCTTTAAATTTTGTATTTGATGTTTTAAGCATCTTAGCACCTTGATTTTGCAAGCCAGTATGAGCTGCTGACCTGTGTTCCATGATGTCTTGTTTGTTGTGACACAATCTGCAGGTAATGTTCCCTCCGTACCCTTCGTCTGCTTCATTGGGTATTCCACAAATAGCATGCACATCGTTGCCACAGGATCCACAAGAATGAGCTGCACTACAATGTTTTTCACAAACTATACAGAATCTATTGGCCACATTATTGTCACGCAACTGATCTGGACGTTCCGCCACGGCAGCAGATGTGTTAGCTGAGGATGTCGTTGCATTTATGGCAACCTCCATTTCTTGTTCAATGTTCTCAAGATCTTCCTCAGTAACTATTTTATTGAGAGCCTCTCTTAGTAGATTTGAAGTGCTAAGTCCCACTTTTGCTTTGCATCCAAACAAGGCTTCGTATAGTGATTGTTGGATTCCTTGATGAAAAGAACGATTTTTCATAAATTAAATGAATTTGAGACTCTCAGCCCAATGAGCTGATTCATTTGTTTGCATCCATGTCATCATCATGTTTTAAACATCTAGGAACGCGGAAAAGTCTTTTGAACGTTCCGTCTTGTTGCACGTGGTCGGCGACGCCGACTGTCTTTGATTTTGTTCTTTGATGATTGTCTCACCTCGTCATCATGGAGGAGGCTGTCACATACAGTTGTAGCCCATATATGGAAACTAACATGAATTAACATTTTTTTCTTTTGACAGCCATTTGCTATGTCTGTCTCTTGGTCTGGCAGCCCTTTTGATCCATGTCACCTTGCATATAGAATGCTATACAAACAAGAGCTAAACAATACGTTACTCACAATGAAACGGCACCCAGAATAATTAAAACGCGATCACAACTTAGTCTAGATACAACATTGGCCAGGACATCCCGGCCAATGCGCGCATTGGCCGGCCAATGTACAAAATACGGTGTCAAGTTTAAGTACTTCGGACTTTGGCCAGTACGTCCCGGCCAGTGCGCGCATTGGCCGGCCAATGTACGAAATACGATCTTAGTTGTAAGTTCTTCGGGCTTTGGCCAAGAGAGCCGGCCAATCCGCGCATTGGCCGGCCAATCCGGGGTTTGGCCGCACTTCGGGCTTTGACCGTAACATATATATATATACTAGGCATACTGCCTAGCTTCGCTTAGGTTTTCAAAAAAGATGAGAAATTGAATGATTAATTAATAGGTGATTGGCTGTTATGTTAAATACTTAGGAGCTAAATTTATACAGTGGGGTATTTTTTGTACCCATAGATTGATGGAATATTCGCAAACTTATTGCTCGCAAGGTTATTTGAACTGAAAGGGCTTTCATAAAAATTATCAATCCAATATTATATTAAATTACTTTTGCAATTAATTTTACAATTTCAATACAATACAAAACTTAATTTATAACAAAATATCCATTTAAAACAATGCTATACTTTATGGTTTTTGTTTTTTCTTAAAAAGAGTATACAAAATATTAAAAAATTATTACATTAAAAAGTTACCTCCCCTGCTTATAGACGCAATAGAGCTCATATAAAGAGAATTTCACTCGCGGTCACTTTTTAGCCCTCGTCGAGGGCTTTGAGTGAAACCGACATGTCTGCCCTACGGCCAAGCCATTTACCTATAAGCATGCCAAAACTTAGCCAGATGTAAAGTGGGCAAGTGCCCTAAAATCCGTTTTGAAATCACCCTCTGTTTTCCCCATAAAATACAAAGATTATATAGGGAAATACGACTGGTCAGTTTTGACCCATTTCCCGATTTTCCCCGGACAGGGGGAGTTTTTTGTGACACCCCAAGGCGTTCTCCTACCACCTCACAAAATATCAAGGGGGGTCGTGGGAGGAAAAATTTGTTCGTAATAGAGCTCATATAAAGAGAATTTCACTCGCGGTCACTTTTTAGCCCTCGTCGAGGGCTTTGAGTGAAACCGACATGTCTGCCCTACGGCCAAGCCATTTACCTATAAGCATGCCAAAACTTAGCCAGATGTAAAGTGGGCAAGTGCCCTAAAATCCGTTTTGAAATCACCCTCTGTTTTTCCCATAAAATACAAAGATTATATAGGGAAATACGACTGGTCAGTTTTGACCCATTTCCCGATTTTCCCCGGACAGGGCGAGTTTTTTGTGACACCCCAAGGCGTTCTCCTACCACCTCACAAAATATCAAGGGGGGTCGTGGGAGGAAAAATTTGTTCGTAATAGAGCTCATATAAAGAGAATTTCACTCGCGGTCACTTTTTAGCCCACGTCGAAGGCTTTGAGTGAAACCGACATGTCTGCCCTACGGCCAAGCCATTTACCTATAAGCATGCCAAAACTTAGCCAGATGTAAAGTGGGCAAGTGCCCTAAAATCCGTTTTGAAATCACCCTCTGTTTTTCCCATAAAATACAAAGATTATATAGGGAAATACGACTGGTCAGTTTTGACCCATTTAACGAAATTTCCTGGACATGGCGAGTTTTTTGTGACACCCCAAGGCGTTTTCCCACCACCTCACAAAATTTCAAGGGGGGTCGTCGGAGGAAATTGTTTTTCGTAATAGAGCTCATATAAAGAGAATTTCACTCGCGGTCACTTTTTAGCCCTCGTCGAGGGCTTTGAGTGAAACCGACAGTTTTCCCTAAAGGTCAAGCCATTTACCTAAGAGCATGCCAAAACTTAGCCAGATGTAAAGAGGGCAAGTGCCCTAAAATCCGTTTTGAAATGACCCTCTGTTTTCCCCATAAAATACAAAGATTATATAGGGAAATACGACTGGTCAGTTTTGACCCATTTAACGATTTTTCCTGGACATGGCGAGTTTTTTGTGACGCCCCAAAGCATTTTCCTACCACCTCACAAAATATCAAGGGGGGTCGTCGAAGGAAAAAAAATTTCGTAATAGAGCTCATATAAAGAGAATTTCACTCGCGGTCACTTTTTAGCCCTCGTCGAGGGCTTTGAGTGAAACCGACAGTTTTCTCTAAAGATCAAGCCATTTACCTAAGAGCATGCAAAAAATTAGCCAGATGTAAAGAGGGCAAGTGCCCTAAAATCCGTTTTGAAATGACCCTCTGTTTTCCCCATAAAATACAAAGATTATATAGGGAAATACGACTGGTCAGTTTTGACCCATTTCCCGATTTTTCCTGGACATGGCGAGTTTTTTGTGACACCCCAAAGCATTTTCCCACCACCTCACAAAATATCAAGGGGGGTCGTCGAAGGAAAAAAATTTTCGTAATAGAGCTCATATAAAGAGAATTTCACTCGCGGTCACTTTTTAGCCCTCGTCGAGGGCTTTGAGTGAAACCGACAGTTTTCTCTAAAGATCAAGCCATTTACCTAAGAGCATGCAAAAAATTAGCCAGATGTAAAGTGGGTAAGGGCCCTAAAATCCGTTTTGAAATCACCCTCTGTTTTTCCCTTAAAATACAAAGATTATATAGGGAAATACGACTGGTCAGTTTTGACCCATTTAACGAATTTTCCTGGACATGGCGAGTTTTTTGTGACACCCCAAGGCGTTCTCCTACCACCTCACAAAATTTCAAGGGGGGGGGGGTCGTCGGAGGAAATTTTTTGTCGTAAAATAGCCCATATAAGGCGCCGGTCAGTCGAGGTCAGTTTTGACCCCTTCTCCGTAGAGTTTTCGGCTAACCGTCACCGGCCCTCGTGTTCTATCGCCCCAAAGCACCATCGTGCCAAATTTGACGCGCCTACGGCGCCGGGAAGTGCCCTATCGGGCACTTGACCACTTTGCTTTATATATATAGATATATGTATATAATGATGATAGAATGGCTTGTCTGTTTTTGCTAAAGATAAATTCTAGAACTTTTTATTTTTCATTTTTTTGCCACCAACACTAACAACTCCACCTACATATACTTTGATGCATTTGTTTAATACCCGGACCAAAAAAGACACAGATTGATCTGTTAAGTCATGTTTTAAATTACTTAATCCCGATGGTTTTGCTTAAGAAATCAAGTTTGTTACTTTTCTGCTTTTAAAAGTGCATTTAAAAACTTTTTTAGTGGTTTCTTTTTGTGTATTTGTTTTATGAAACATGAACCTATTGATAATTTCGTCAGACAAACTCAGTGATTTTTTTTTTCTGACTAAAAATCACTGATTACTTTGGGAAACACGCTCGGTGATTATCTCACTGAATATCTTACTGATTATTATCAGACATACTCACCGATAATTTTGACATATGGGATGTCATGTCCAGAGCCGGGCAGGTCAAGGTCATCCAGGGTGCATGAGGTCAGCACGGTGCCCAGCTTGGTGCTCTCGGAAACGGTCAGTTTGCTGGACGGCAGGACGATGAATGGTGTGTTGTCGTTGATGGACTTGATCACCACAAACACCGTCACCACGGTGGTGCCATCTTTGTCTTTTACCAGAACCCGCATCTTACAGATAAAACTCAGATATTAACGTCTGGTTAGTTGCAGATAAAACTCAGGTATTAACGTCTGGTTAGTTGCAGATAAAACTCAGGTATTAACGTCTGGTTAGTTGCAGATAAAACTCAGGTATTAACGTCTGGTTAGTTGCAGATAAAACTCAGATATTAACGTCTGGTTAGTTGCAGATAAAACTCAGATATTAACGTCTGGTTAATTTGCAGATAAAACTCAGGTATTAACGTCTGGTTAGTTGCAGATAAAACTCAGATATTAACGTCTGGTTAGTTGCAGATAAAACTCAGATATTAACGTCTGGTTAGTTGCAGATAAAACTCAGATATTAACGTCTGGTTAGTTGCAGATAAAACTCAGATATTAACGTCTGGTTAGTTGCAGATAAAACTTAGGTATTAACGTCTGGTTAATTTGCATATAAAACTCAGATATTAACGTCTGGTTAGTTGCAGATAAAACTCAGATATTAACGTCTGGTTAATTTGCAGATAAAACTCAGATATTAACGTCTGGTTAGTTGCAGATAAAACTCAGATATTAACGTCTGGTTAGTTGCAGATAAAACTCAGATATTAACGTCTGGTTAGTTGCAGATAAAACTCAGATATTAACGTCTGGTTAGTTGCAGATAAAACTCAGGTATTAACGTCTGGTTAGTTGCAGATAAAACTCAGATATTAACGTCTGGTTAGTTGCAGATAAAACTCAGATATTAACGTCTGGTTAGTTGCAGATAAAACTCAGATATTAACGTCTGGTTAGTTGCAGATAAAACTCAGATATTAACGTCTGGTTAGTTGCAGATAAAACTCAGAATAAACGTCTGGTTAGTTGCAGATAAAACTCAGATATTAACGTCTGGTTAGTTGCAGATAAAACTCAGAATAAACGTCTGGTTAGTTGCAGATAAAACTCAGATATTAACGTCTGGTTAGTTGCAGATAAAACTCAGATATTAACGTCTGGTTAGTTGCAGATAAAACTCAGAATAAACGTCTGGTTAGTTTAGTCTTTCACAAGAAACAACATCTTATAGATAAAACTCAGATATTAATTTCTGATTAGTTTTACACAATAATTTCTTATCCGTTTTGCTTTAGTATTATACATCTCTCTTTTTATTATTGCTCTATCAAGTAAAAAGAAAAGCATATGAATATTGTTGTGAATGGACTTAGTTTTATTGAATGAGTTTGAGAGTATGCGTGTAGTGGAATGTGTATTAACCCTTCATTTCATGTTGTATCAATAAAAGATGTTGAGGGTTTGAGAGTATGCCTGAAGTGGAATGCGTTTTAATAAAAGATGGTGAATGTGCCGATGCAAGGAAGGATATGACGTGGGAGAGTATGGGTTTTGTTGTCAGGGGAAATAGTTTAGTCAGTCTTAGTCTACGTCTAGTCGCGTTAGAGTGTGAAAGTCTTCGTAGAGTCTGTCGTAGATTTAGTCGTGTGTAATGTATGTAATAAAAGACGGAAATGTATCAATGTCATTCTGTCTTATTTTCTATTGGATCATCGTTGTATTTGTATCTTTCAAGCATCGACCCTGTCCAGATCCTCACTACATAACACATAAATGCTGACTTACTGTGTATGGACTGGCGTAGTTGGAGGTGCCAGACAACTTGTACTCGGCGTCCGCCAGTTTGTTCAACGTGAGCACCCCCGTGACGGAGCTCAGGGCGAACTGCGAGTCGAAGTTGCCGCCGCCGTTGATGTCCCAGCTGTAGGTGATGACGTTGTTGTCGACGTCACTACAGCTCAGGCGCAGCACCGTGTTGCCTATCTTGCCAGGTTCCGTCACGGTGGCCGAGTAGTAGCTCTTAGGGCACTTGGGGCGGTTCTGGCATTCTGTGGACACAATGGGGTTAAAACATAGGCGTCTGCGGAATTTTTTCTATGAGGGGGGTCAGTTTTATATTTGCATATGTATGATTTATGTCCATAAAAATAAACGGCTGGTATATTTGTACGAATTTATACTCCGCATTTTAATAAGGTACATATTTCGATTCAGTATTTTAAATGCTAGGCAATAATGTTCTTTAACCAAGGGAAAAAAAAACTGAAAAAAAAGATGGATGGGGCACGTCCGAAGAATGAATCCAGGAATGACGCTAAACTGGACACCTCAAGGGAAAAGAAAGCAGGGTGGACAAGGGAGAGGCGCACAGCGGGGAAGCAGCTGGCAGAGGTAGGACTGTCATGGGGGACTGCCAAGAACATTACTGGTGACCGACAAAATTGGAAGGTGCTTTCTGTTGCGGCCCCATGCGTCTTGGGCACAAAAGTGAAAAGATGATGAAGTGTACGATTGATGTCAATCTTATATTTTAAATACTAGTTGATTATTTAGCCAAAATCATTTAGGACAGCTTCTGCGTGCTTAACATCAGGTTGGTAGTTTTTGCCATTAATATCGGGCAAAAATAAATCTCTTCCATCTAATGTAAACTCACGGTATGTAAAGGTATTGGGTTGGTACTTGGTTTCAATCAAATCTATATCTACTGTATGGCAAGGTATTGAGGGGGTGGGGGTAGAACAACACGAAGCAGCTTCACAGTAACGTATGTAAAACAATCCACAAACGCAACAGCTGAGATTGTGAGTATTTAACACGAGAGGCACCAAGAATGGAAAAGGACAAGGGGGAGGACAGAAAATGGATCAAAACGACACTTGTGTCTGCCACATAGGTAGAAGATAATGAAAACATTACTGGAAATATATCTTTTATACGTGTTACCGGCAAAGTGAGAAACATGGACATCTGTTTTGCCTGTAATGCGCCTGTAAAAACCCCAACTTTCAATTCCGCTAAGGGTTTATTGTTAGATTTAGGGTCGATTTGTAATAGAAAGTTGGGTAATGTCTTACTCCAGCTGTTTAAACGAGGGTAATATACATGTGGTTAATTGACATTGTAGGGGGGGAGGTTTAATGTCGTGAGTTAATTGATCTCAGAGATAATATATGGGGTTCAATTAACTCGGGGAAAATATATCGGGGGGGGGGGGGGTTAATTACCTCAGGGAAAATCTCGATATTTAAGGAGGTAGGCTACGGTAAAAAACAACTTTTTTAATACTCGTTAGGAAACAATTGTTTCTCTATAGATGTTTTAAGGTACATCTGCATGTGTGTTTCCACTAAAACAAAATTGGTAGAAAAATCTTGGTAACTATGACAACGGCGGCTATCTTGAAAAATTAACCCCTTCGCAGGTTTTCCATCATTAATAAAATATTAAATTTTAAGCCTAATAAATAATGAATTCATAATCTTCGTCCACATTTTAGGGTACTCAGCTAAAAAAATTTAGTGTATACCTTTAAACTAATTTTTTATGAATTTTCAAATTGTGGGTCCGATAAAACCAAAATTCCCCAAAATTAAGTGTTTTGAACGGACACAAATTTTGACAATTCATAATTAAGAGAAATAGGCCTAAAATGAAAGGAGTCTGGGAAACTGCTTTCTTAATCAGTGCATGCCCAAACAGAAAAACTAAATGCCTTTCACGTGTGAAAATACCGCATATATTAATTTGAACATGCCAATTAAATAAAAGGACTCATATACCACAGTCACAATTGTTGAGATCTTACAGCCATCAGTATTTTTCTAAATTAAGAGTTACAAGTTAGTTTGATTAATAGGAACATAAATAAGACAAAAACATAGTTAACTAAGTCTGTGTTATTTTTGTGTCTGTCAAATTTAGGAATTCCTTCACGACTCAATATAATAAAAACAACTTTACAACCAAAGTGCTAAATTTATTTTAAAATTTAAAATAATAACCCACCAACTTTTTAGTCAGCTTATTATATCTATGTTCGTGTATTATATCAAGTCAATATGCTAATTTTGGCGCTTATAATCGCGACAGATTTTAATGACTGTATATATTGATACCAGTCCATAGTCTACGGGTCACTGTAAGTTCGCTTTTGATCTTATTTTAAAGGGGCCGATCGTGTACGTTCTCCGGCTGAAAGAAATTTGTCGTTCGATTGATTCCATTCACAGAAACTAACAGTTTATGTATTCGTACCAGCTGGACTCTCTACCCCATACATAAACGAGTCACAGGTTTGGTCAATATAACCGCGGAAGATTGTGGGACATCGGTTTGTTAAAATAACTTGGCAAAAATTCTCGTATTCCTGCTTTATGTCTGAATATATATACAAACAATTGCTTTATGTTCGAGCTAGGCGTTGGGTAGGTTTTATGGCCCTGTTTTGAGCCAATATCGGTTGTTTGAAATCTGAAATCTGGGTTACAAAACTTTCCACTGATTTTTTATTAAAATACACACTGAGAATGTTTGTGAACTGCTTAAGTTTTGGGAAATGTTTAGGGGAGTGGTGGGAGTAAAAGAGGGCGATTAATTTAAATGTTCTCTCGTCTTCTTAACTTTCAAGATCTAGAACTACATCAAGTAAAACACAAGGAACTGTGTAATTTGGCCTACATGCTTTTCCATTAGTATAGAAAAAATATCAATTTTCAAACTGTTAAATGTGAAAAAAAAAAGATTTTTTTTTGTTTAATTTACGACTTAATACATATAGGCAATATTATATTTTCAAAATTATATTTTAATATTTTTTATTTACAGAATTAATTATAACTAATTAATTTAACCTGTATTTAACATTTGTAATATGTATGACTATCCCTATAGATGGTACAACACAAGTGATAATTTTTTGATGTGTTCAAATGTGGACATAGATGTAAGGATGGAAACAAACCTACACGATGTTGATCATTTTACTTAAGTCGTTTATTCATAACTAAATGATACATTTCCTTTCTTTGGGGCAGAGGCGTAGCGAGGGAGGGGGGGCGGGGGGTGCGTACCGCACCGGGTGACACCATTTAGGGTGGTGACACCAAGGCAAAAAATAGTAAAAATATATAGAAACAAATTGGAGAGGAGGGGGGGGTGCAAATCGAAAATTGAAAGTTTGTCCCCGGGAAGAGTCGCTATGCCTCGGGGGGTGACACCTTTAAGCGCCGCACCGGGTGGCACCAGACCTCGCTACGCCACTGCTTTGGGGTCCTTGTCCAACATAATCCATCGATTAGAAAATGTCCAATCCATCGTTAATTTCTTTTCATGGTTTGTTTATCTGCTGTTCATTGTCCACAGAGGCGAGGCCTAGAGATTGAACTCTGGCCTGCTAACCCGAAAGTCTCGAGTTTGAATCCGGGTCCAAGTCAGTAGAATATCCCTGAGTCTAACCAACTTTGAAGGGTACCAAACTCACGTTAGGGTAAGTAAAGGCGGCTGGGCATTGCTACAAATGCCGAGGTGACAGAATCATGTGAACTCCGTGGATCGTCAGGTACGAAAAGAAAATTGTGTGGTGTTTTCTGTCTTACAGATATATTTTAATACATTTTCTTAGGTATCTTTTGATGTAATTCTGGATTATACTTGTTTCTCTGTTGTTCTCCGCGTTTTAAATCCGTATGAGTATTCATTTGGGAGTGAAAGATTTTATTTTAGTTTTCTAATAAAAATGATGGCCTAAGATTGGAAATGCTGGTCGGGTTATGTTTCTTCTGCTGATGACTTTGTTCCACCCGAAACATTGACTATACTCCCTAAATATATATTTTTCTGGTTCTCTAGTTTACATCACCGTTTTATTTGTGGTTAATTTAAAAAAACAGATGATACAATAGGCATGAAAGGTCTATGTAATCATACTAAATTATTTTTAAAAAATCTTTTTAAAAATATGGCAAGTGATAAAATTATTGTTACATTTAAAAATTGAAAGCTGTTTGGGAACCATCGATCACAATCATTTTCATATTTTTTGTATTGAATATAAGCCGTTGAAAAGCCGTTTAGAATTATTTTATCAATTCAAATATTTTTTTTAAAAGCGACTAATCCAAATTAAAAATAAAAGTGTTTACTAAATTACTACTATATTATTATTTATTATTTGTTTGACTGTTTCTAGCCTTAATGAAACTGGAAATAATTTTTGTCCTTGTTACACAATTGTTATAAAATATTCAATTTTGGTTAAAAAATATGCTTTCTAGCCACAAACATGTTGAACCATTTGGAACCAGTTTTTCAAGTAAAATATTTGGCGCTCTATCTATTAATTAAAAATTACTATTGTCAAAGTCAACCACCCACTGTTCACATCGCTCTTAATTTAGACGACGAAAGTCTATCTAAGCTTTATCTAAGATGTGGTTTTTATAGACTGTTTGTGCCTGCCGTGGTCACAAATGAAACTCAAGTGGTTTTAATTATTACATCTCAAGACAGTTTTTAACTTTATTAACTATCACTAACAAATTTTAATCATATTCTGTTTATAACTAAAAATTGTGTACGTTGACTTTTTATTTTGTTTAATGGTCTACGTTGTTCAGTGGCGTAGGCAGGGGGGTGGGGGTAAGGATGTTACAACACCCCCATGGACCCCTCTTTAAAAAAAATTGTTTATTGTCATAATAACATGGTTACTTATTTAAATCTATTTCTCAATCAGTATAATGTATAATTGAATATGTATGTTTAGAACCATCATCTAAAAACTGACGCTATATTCACTCGGAGTTGGTTATTCCCCCCCCCCCCACCTCACACCACAATTGTGTAGAGCGACATTAATGTCACACCTAGGTATACACTGGGTTGGATAGTTGACCTAAAATGACAGTGGTGAATGAAGTTGAACCTCACCCTCATCCCTCCAAACCCACCACTTAACATCTGTTAAGTACATTTGGGAAAACGAGTAATGAGGTACCAAGTACAATGGCGCCAGAATCATAGCTTTCGAAACGTAAAACTCTGTTAATATTGTTTTTGCAATTACCAGTAAAAAGGTGTGTGAGCAATACAGTGATCTAACCCATACCTTATCATTATGTTATAAAATTATCTTTAAAGAACACACAAAGCAGTAGCGGTCATTGTTTTGGTTGAAGTATGTGTATTTTTTTTTAAAGTGATAAATTGTTTTGTTTTGTCGACCTACATTGTGTGTTTTTTCTTCTTTCTTCAGAGTACTACTTTCAATTTATTTTACATCATAGCGAAACAAATACATACAGCTAGTATATATATATATATATATATATATATATATATATATATATATATATATATATATATATATATATATATATATATATATATATATATATATATATATATATATATATATATATTGATGGGAAAAATTGAACCTCCCCCCCTTCCCCCAGTGAGACGATTCTGGCTAGGCCACTGACGTTGTTGTTCTAATATTTTAAAAAATAATATTAGATACCCATACATATTTTTTAGCCTCACTCCATAGAGCAGTAAGGGGAGAGTGCTATATATTAGCGTTTAACAGGTGTGTGTGTGTGTGTTTGTGTGTGTGTGGATACTTCTGTACCTTCCTAGTTTCATCTGACCCGACTTGAGACATGCTACCATCAATCACTCTAGAATCTCCTACGGATTCGAGTCAGTTACATATCAACCATGTGTGTGATCCAGTTGTTACGTCCGGGTTAAGTTCAACGCAGAAAACGATGCGTGGTCTCAACTCTCCACATTACACAGTAGCCCTCGCCCTAACCGCTACCAACTAACCCCTTGTAATCATTCCCTCCAGAAGTAATACTGCATTCAACCTTGGGATAACAATACTCTAGGGTAAACTCAACTCACACACGCACTCTCCCCTAATTCTAGATTATTCTAACCTATTTCTAATTAACCTAAAACTGACCCGTAACACTGGTGCCCCCCCCCCCCCCCCCCCCGACATACTTATCATCCCAGGAAGCAACTTCGATAATTTCGAGTATACAGCATATGGGTATATTTCCTTCCACCTTTTTACGTTCTCGTATATACGAAGTATAGAGAAAGTCTTGTAATCGTGCAAAAAAAATCGAGATTTTTTACAAATCTCGACGTTTTACACATCATTGATACGGAAAAACATAATTTTGCAATCTTGTCCGTATGTCTGTGTGTCTGTCTGTCTGTCTGTCTGTGTGTGTGTCTGTCCGTATGTAAACACGATTACTTGAGTACCGTTACAGCTAGGTTGATGAAATTTTATATATAAGTATTTTATCAAAATCGTAGATCCGTATCAACTTTTGAGCGATTTCCGATAACCAGAAGTGGTACTTTTCCTACTTTGAGTTTTTCAAAAGCCTATAACTTGAGTACTATTTCAAATAGATAAATGAAATTTCACATGTAAGTAAAAGATCTAATTCTCTACCTTCTGTTAAATTTTGAGTAATTTCCGGTGACCGGAAGTAGTAATTTACGCTACTTCCGATTTCTCAAAAAACTAATGTAAATTTTTAAAGTACTAATAATATTGCGCACTATTATGCACTTTTTTATTTGGCGTTCACTTGGTGTGCAATTCTTTTGTCTACGAGATTTTATTCTATTTTTAAAACTTTAAGTAATTAAAATGGATTAAAAATCATGTCTATAGCCCGATTTCCCATCCCCTGTTATTTTATATAAGAATTTTCGAGAAAGTTTAGGGGAGATCACTCCCGGTTTATTTTTTTTTTACTTTCTAAACTGGTTATATAAATATTTTTTTTAACTGAATGCAAGGATAGCACGATTAGCACGCTGTCAAAAATAACTTTAACTAACGGGAGACACGTTCTCCTCCCCCCCCCCCCCCCCCACCTTCCGCTACTTTCCCAGCAGACCCCTTCTGTCTTCGCCACTGAAGTTGACTAATACAGAAATCCCCCACTGTATTGTGAGAAACGAACATAACACGCAAACGGTTTGAGAACCGTTAGTATAATACGAATATTAAAACAATAACTAAAACGTACCTGAGGTATGAATTAAAACAATCATGAAACAAATCCGTATCCATAGTGAGAATGTCCCTATATCCATCACGTACAGTTCTCCAGCTTCTAGGAAAGAAATTAAAAACGCAAATTAAGACTTAAATAACTCCGGTCGTTATTTTAAAAAAAAAAAAAATTTAAAACTCACAACAGTCTTGTGACTATTGTTTACATCTATTACTTTTGTAAAACTAATTCTCGTAATATATAGTATTTATTTTCTAATATAAACAAAGATGCGGTGAAAAATATTTAAGAAATGAAAGTAATTAACTCTATACAACATTACCTCCTTATACTTCAGTGTGTCACCATCGTGTAGAACAATGTATCTGACTGGACCACAATTTTCAAATATCCACAAAAAGCTTGTAACTTCTGTGTGTCTTTCCTCTGTGTCCGGATTCCAATTGCCAAATCTGTGTATATATGTATATCTGTCTTCTCTGTGTCTCTCCTCTGTGTCTAGATTCCTATCGCCTATTCTCCACCAACATATATGTGATCTTCTGGCAGTCTATCACAGCTGTACTTTACTCCACCATAGAATTCTCAGCCTTTAACCCCTTGTGTCCCATTCCTTAACCCGTCACGTCCCACGTGATCCAGCAATATGTATCTTGACGACACCATTCGTCTACTTCCTGCGCCGCTCCCTCCCCCTTTTCTTTTCACCCACCGCTGCATATATTTACACACATATTTAAACTTAGCCCGCAATTAACTACCTTTCCCCTTTAACATAAAATAACTCCAATACAAATATCCAAAAGAAAAAAAAAACGATAACAAATTTTCTTTCACTTTAAAACGCGAAAACGCGCAACAAAATATCTAGCCGTAAAAAAAAACTAACGGTTACATACCCAGTTTGTGTACCACCCCAAGGGCCGTAATCACAACAGCCTACATAAATAAACTTCGTTCTTTTTTTTTATCACCTGAATCACGAGTCAAAAAACTTCAAAAACAAAACGCGGTGCCTGAAAGAAAGCCGGACGCGTACCCTCAAGAAGACTTGCTTTCACTGACAATGACGTAGGAAAGTGCGGCCTTTCACGGTGAAAAGGGACGGGTAGGGGGGAATTTGCTGGTGACCCGATCACTGAAATATAGCGCGATCAATCGAATATAAAAAGTCAGTTCTGTATCGATGAGATATTTGAATGAGTCGAACCCGTGAATGGACCATTGATACTGTTTAGGGTCTAACCGTTGAGGTATCTGCTCCAATGTTCTGCTTCGGTCTGTTATGGCTAAGGTGGATTTTTATTTTCTTTAGCATAACGCATGACTTCCCAAATGCGCGTAGGATTTAAACTTTTTTTTTTAAAGTTAGATCTTTTGTTTGAGTGTTCGAAGTTTAGTAATAGCTGGTGTGTGGCGTTTGGTGGTTGGTGTGTGGAAGGTGTTAGTGTTCAGGTGTTTAGTTGTGAAGCATTGGTATTTAGTAATAAAACATTGGTGTTTAGTTGTAACATTAGTGCTTAGTTGTGACGTATGGGTGTTTAATTGTAACATATGGGCGCTTCGTTATGAGGTATGGGTGTTTAGTTATAAAGCATGGGCGTTTAGTTGTAATACATTATTACTTAGTTGTGACGTGTTTAATTGTAACATATGGGCGTCTAGTTGTGGCGTACGGATGTAGTTGTTACAGAGGGTGTGTGAGTTGCATTTGGTGTTTAAATGTATTTTAGTAACGTATGCATGTCAGTTGTAAAATATGGGTGTTTACGTATAGCAGTTTTGCTATAATGAGTGAGTGTTTCAAAAAGCTATATCATTGTTTCCTGAATACTTAAAACAATAGCTAGTGTGTATCTAAAATTAGCTGTATCGGTGTTTATGTATGTTTGGTGTATGTGTATCTAAAATTAGCTGAATCGGTGTTAAGTATGCGTATGTGCGTCTAATATTAGCTGTATCGGTGTTTATTGATGTTGGTGCATGAGCATTAAAAATGCACACAATTGATCAGCCCTACTTAATATATAACTTTTAAATCCACATTAAAATTACTGTTATCGTCTTCTAGTGTAAGCTATGAATACATGTATGTTTCCATAACATCCAAAATTTAGCTTACCTTATCAATGTTGATCATGTTATTTATTGTTTACATTTTAAACTATAATCTATTTATAGAACTAAGTCATGACGTAAATACAGACAACAAAAACGATTCTCTTATACAGGGCCTAGAGTTACCTGTAACCAATACTACCAAACATGTGCTTAAGAATGCATGAACCCTACGCTATAAACCTTAATGAAGCGTGCTGATCTTTGGGTTAGGCCGGACGTTAAGATCTACAAGACTTGTAGATGTTATAAATCAGGCATGAGAATCTTTTGAAGTTAAATACGATTTTTAAAAAATGAATCTAAGTCTCTAATGCATGCCCCACTTGAACCAACATAAAGATATATTGAAAGAAAACTTTTTGGTTTGAATTTTAAAGTATGTAACGAATTAATTGATCGTTTATAATATTTCATCTCAATAGGAATTCAAAGATTGTTTTTTTTATATTTATAATTCTATCAAAATACTTTTTTTTTTGTATTTGAATACGTTCTTGAATTTCTACATCGCAGATGTCTTATAATAGTATAAAATGTGCTTATTATATAGGTTGATATGCATTAAAATAAACCATTTTTAAAAGCAGGCCCTACATATCACATGCTTCAAGTATTTTCGAGTTTTAAAAATAAGCTAAATTTAAAAAAAAAGGTTATAACTATTGTTATCACTCTTGTTAAATGGGTCGACATGGTGCGAGTGTAGAGCGCACGACTGCTAACCTGAAAGTCTCGAGTTCGTATCCTGGGTACGAGTCCACAAATCATGCTTGAGTTCACTCAGTTCTAACGGGTTCCTAGCTTAAGTTAGGGAAAGTAAGGACGCCAGTTCATAAGGCTGACCACGTTATCCCTAAATATGCCGAGGTCACAGAGACAGGCGCGCTCTACTTTACCCGCGTCAACAACAGCCAGGTTCGAAACTAAAGAAAATTAATTTTACTATTTCAAAACAATGATTAAAAATATTATTTTTGTCATTAAAAAAAATATCATTTGACTTCTAAAAATGTAAACGCGATCCTAGTCGAACCCAAACTGCTCTAGACTATCCTTAATACAATTAAATACCCATAAAACTTTATCGATAAATACGATACGGTTTAGACGCCAGATCCCAGGTTCGCTTAATGTTCATATTTAACACGTTTTATCAACGACTGTCAGCAATGTAAGAGTAGTTGTAACACAAGAGAGGTTAGGATTAATGATACGGTTGACTCGGTAACTTGGTTTAGCCTCAGTGTGACTCATGCCTAGGGTTAGTTTGGTAAACCTGACAGGGGTTAATGTCAGTGGTACGGGGTAGAGCCAGATTTTATTGAACCGGAGGAGAGAGATTATAAATAACGAGCCGACCCGCGGCGTATCATACGCCGCTATTTAGTTGTTTTATTTTCTACTTTTCAGTAATTCATAATTTGTGAATTCGACAGTACCAATGCTGCCACTGAAAATATTTGCTTTAAAACACTAACCCCCCCTTTCCCCTAACCCCGCCCTACACCCCCCCCCCCTGTGAAAGCAGCCTCCTCTTAGTTACCTCCTGTAAGTTTAAAATCGTTTCAAACTAAATTATCTGCCCCTAATAGCCGTCACTAAACCCAGCTCTACGATTTGTAAACATTTAATTTAGCGTGACCACAACTCACCAGACAATGTGGGGGGTGGGGTGGGGTAGGTAGTGATAGTGATAGAGAGAAAGAGAGGGGACTGTAAGGAGGCGCTTGCAGCTTGTTTTCTAACGGCTCCCAGAAGAGAATTATATATATAGATATCAACGCGGTGGTACGGCTAATCGGTACCGCTGTAAGCTGTAGATTCGCTCCAAACTCTCCAGCATATTGTTGTTTTATTATAAGGTAAAATAAGCCACCTTCTTCGTTGTATATCTGCTCGTAATGCTTGTATTGGTACAATATGTTGTTTTATTTTAGAGGTGGTATTTGCCTGTTGCTTTATTCTAGATGTGGTGTTCACCTGTTGTTTTATTATAGAGGTGGTATTTACCTGTTGTTTTATTATAGAGGTGGTATTTACCTGTTGTTTTATTATAGAGGTGGTATTTACCTGTTGTTTTATTCTAGAGGTGGTATTTACCTGTTGTTTTATTATAGAGGTGGTATTCACCTGTTGTTTTATTATAGAGGTGGTATTTACCTGTTGTTTTATTCTAGAGGTGGTATTTACCTGTTGTTTTATTATAGAGGTGGTATTTACCTGTTGTTTTATTATAGAGGTGGTATTTACCTGTTGTTTTATTATAGAGGTGGTATTCACCTGCTGTATAAGCCCAGGGGTAAAATTTACATTTTGTTTGATTATAAAGAAGTTAATTGCATATTGTTAAAGACTATGGGTGGTATGTACCTATTATTTGGGGCTAGGGTGGTATTTACCTTTTGTTGAGGTTGGGGTGGTACTTACCAATTGTTTTATTATGAAGTTAAAAAACCCACCGTCTTATTCGTATATTTAATCATGCAGTGTTTTATTCTAGAAGTGGTATTTACCTATCGTTTGAGGCTAGGTGATATTTACCTGTTGTTTGACGTTAGGGATTTTATTGATTTTTTTAATGCTAGCCCGGAATTATCCAGTCCGAATGCGGGTTCAAGTCAGTAGAACTTCCCTGAGCCCACCCAGCTCTGATGGGTACCCAACGCACGTTAGGGAAAGTAAAGGCGGTTGGGAATCGTGCTGACCACAATATTCCTTCATTTGACGAGGTCAAGAAACAATTGAAATCTACTTCATCTTCCTATGTATTGTTAGGTCTAAAGAGGAATCCTTACTTTTCTTTATGGGTGGTAATTAGGTAATATTTAAGGCTAGGGGTGGTATTTATCTTTTATTTAAGGACAAGAATTTTAATAATACACTGCTTTTCTATAAATCTCAAGCTCAGTGTGCAGACTGTTGTGGAGTGAAACTATATTATTTAAGATCTTTCAATGTAAGCGCTTAAAAAAACAACTTTGATATTCGTTTACAGGGAGAAAACACAACCAATGATATGACTGAAAATGTCCCAAGGATTACTCTCCCTTTATATTTTGATTTTAAAGCGCTATTCCAACACAGAAAACTAACTTCATCCGAATTAAGCTTTGTTACTTCAACAAATCATATTTAATTTTATATTTTCAAGTGAGAAACTACTATACCAAATGTACATAAGTAAAATATAAATTTAAAAATAAGTAGTTTATTATTTTATTGTTTCCAATTAATCAATAAACAATAATGTTGAAGAGTTACATAATTTTAATTGGAGCTTGGGCTTATAGTAAATTTAGATACATTAGCAAACTGGAACAAGCTAAAAGAAATTAACAGAAAGTTATGCATACAGAATCGTGGAGACAATCTTTTTTTTTTAATTAATCACTAAGGTAATAACGTTTTTCAACCTTATTGTAAACCAGGGGTCTCCAAACTACGGCCCGCGTTTGTTGGAGAAGGCTGAGGAACTTTGCCCAAAAAATTCAAAACAATTTGAAAATGTAGCTTTTCTGACTTAAATTCAAAGGTAGAAGAAATAAAACTGCTTCAAAACGCATTTGAAATAAATGTGTAAGTTGCCCAGATAAACTGCAGCTAGAGGTCATTGAATTGCATGCAAATAAACCTTCTTAGAGACAAGTTCAAAGAAGGGCGGAATTTAAAAAGAGTTTGCCCATGGAAGACTTTCCTAATATTAAAACATATGCACCGAAGTACCTTTCAAATTTTTGAACAAAATACCAGTGTGAACATTTTCAAGAATGAAATACGTGAAGAATAATTTGAGAGCAAATTTGGAGTATGTTGTCGGCCCCCGACGATGTTTCTTTCAGAATTTTTTCTCCGGTCCGGGGGGGGGGGGGTACTTGAAATCTGTATATATTTCTGTATAAATTATATTACTTTGGGGGGGGGGGGGAGGGGACGTTCTTCGGGGGGGGGGGGGGGGAAGAGATGCCTGGAAGAAACTGGCCCCCGAACTGATATTTGATAGTTAATGCGGCCCTCGGGCTCAAAAATTTGGAGACCCCTGTTTTAAACTAATTAAAAAGTCATTGTTTCTATCGAACGTTATTCTCTATGGGGGAGAGAGACTTAAAAGTCACCCCCCCCCCCTTCTCCACACCTGAAGATATACTTGAAAGAAAATGTGCTTAAAGTATATTACTATTTTAGATTCAATACAAGAAAGTTTGATTCAAAACTGAGAAAACTTAAAAAAGTACACGGTCAAAACATTGTATTCAAATCCTAGTTGTTGTTGTTTTTTTAAATCATCGATCAATTTAAATGTAACTTGTATATAAATCATAACTGTGTTCCAATAATAGCCAAATTTTCAGTCATTCATGCAATTTGGTTATTGGTAATTGGTTATTTGGCATTTCTATCCTTGTACTGAAGTTTTTTTTTTTACTTGTTTTACACTAAACTTGACTGACCATCTCTAAATCGCCATCTTTAATTTCGGAATATTCCTCAACTTTTAAAACGATGTCCACTTTACTGGAATTCTCCTTGTCTTTACTCTCAGTTAACTCTTTAGGCTCCAGGTGTAAGATGGGGATTAGAGTGGATGAGATGTAGGTCGCTGTCTTCATTGGCGTGGGGGCTCCGTCTTGATCAGGGTCAGCCTCATGACGCTTCTCTATCGTTTCGTAATCTGATCGGAACAAAAAATCGATATAAATATATATATATATATATATATATATATATATATATATATATATATGTATATGTATATATATATATATATATATATATATATGTGTGTGTGTGTGTGTGTGTGTGTGTATGTATCTATGTATATATATATATATATATATATATATATATATATATATATATATATATATATATATATATATATACATACATATAAAATTCTAATAGTTTTATCAAAGTGCAAGATATATATAGATTTCATCAGATTGAAGAAGCTGAGAAGAATATGAAGTGTATCCCACAAAGCTACTATACCAGGCACTCTAGTCTACTGTAATCACACTAAATTCACCCCACTTATCTACAACACAATGCACGTTGGCCGCAAGGACTCACTGTGGTAGTTGCTGTAGTGGCTCTCAGCGTTGGGTCTGTCGTTACCCTCAGATGGCGTGGAGTAGGTTGTCGACGTCACTGCCGTGGTGACTGTCACTTTCTTCTCCTCCTTTTTGTGTTTTGGTTTAGTCGTGGCTAGTGGTGGAGCTGACCCATTGACAAATGTATAAATGTATATGATTATGGTTACGGAGAGTATGCATAATAATTAAAATAATAGTGCGTTAGATAATCACTTAGGTGGCATGAGTTCGGAAACTTAGAAGTCATTGTTAATTCTTTTGTTTTTAATGTTCCCAACAAGCAAGTGGATAGATTGAAATATGAAAGCACACAAATGACTAAATTATTGCTATTTTACTTTTTAACGTTTGATTTAATAATTTGTTTTTTATTATTTATATGAGGGTCTAGCTAGAAAGAAACCGCCTAACTAATTAGTATGCCTCTGATTCAGATTAAGTGAATCACGGGTTATGTATTGAAAATATGTTTCCCAATGAAATAAAATACCAATGGGCTGTGCTGACGCATACACAAGGGATGTGCTACCGCCACCCTTACTTAGCGCAGCGCGTGTGCTCTCCTTGTATATATATATAAATGTATATATATATATATATATATATATATATATATATATATATATATATATATATATATATAACCGTTTCATTTCAACAATTTATCTTACCTGCAGAGAAATACTTTGGAGTCTTTCTTTCCTTTTTCTTCTTCTTGACTAAGAAAGCATAGTGACGTAACATAATTAGTACATATAATTATATATATATTATATATATATATATATATATATATATATATATATATATATATATATATATATATATACGTATTCGAACGTTTCTAGCCACGGAAAAAATTATACTACGGTGTAAATTTATATTTTAGTAGTAGGGATACCCTCATAAAAAACTGATTTGTCAGTACCCTCATCTCTACGTATTATTATGGTTTTAATTGTTTTGAGAGTGTCTCATTTTTCGTCTACGGTTCCCTTATAACTGATATTTATTGTAACTTGAACTTACTCAGATAATTGATATTTAGTGTAACTTGAACTTACCCAGGGTTTTTGAGTCTTGGTTCCTGCAACACAAAATAGGCCAATAAATGTAACAAACAGGTAACTACAGAGAAAAACTCTACCTTGAAGATAGATTACATCACGTTACTTTTCACACTCGTTCTGTTATAAGTATTGTCGGGAGAGAGTCTGTTTATGTTTTCGTAGGTTATACATGGTTATTTAGAATGTTTTTTCTTAAATAAAAGACTAGTGAAGTTAGTTCGTTAAGTTGTTTACTATTTCATAAATACTTGGTGTTAATAAGTGTTGATCTTTCAAAATTATAATTTTTATTTGTAGTTTAATAGTGATGTGGTGGCGGGTGAGGGTGGGGATGATGTTGGGGGTGGGGATGCGACTTTGCCTACACAACTGCAGTTGAAAGTGTTTCATATTCTTCCTTAACTTTAAATTGTAATTCTCATGCAATCAACTACATAAAAACCAATTTAAAAATTGCTCAGTAAGCACTACATTCGGAATGTTATTAGTATGACGTTTTGTAAGCAAAAAAAAAAAAAAGAAGCCACAACTATCTCCAAAACCACAGGTCACCACCTTTCACCTCTGACCTTTCATACCACTTACCGTTTCCGGCGGATGCCGTAGCAGTAGATGAGTACCCATACGACAAGGGAGATGATCGCGAGTGCAGTGATGCAGGCCAGCACGATGAGAATTATGATGGGCGTGGACAGACCCGAATCGTCCTTCACCTCGCTGACGTAGGGCATGACCTCTGACACGGTACCACTTACAGCTGATTGCAATAGCTAGGAAGTGAAAGAAAACATAGGTTTCATCTTTAGTTTCATACATTTTGAAGGAAGTATAGAGGGTGAATTATGAGGAAAGTTTAGTGAGTGAATTATGAGGAAGGTATTCTATGTGAATTATGATGAAAGTATAGGGGGTGAAGTATGAGGAAAGTATAGTGGTGAATTATGAGGAAAGTATAGTGGGTGAATTATGAAGGAAGTATAGGGGGTGAAGTATGAGGAAAGTATAGTGGTGAATTATGAGGAAAGTATAGTGGGTGAATTATGAGGAAGGTATTCTATGTGAATTATGATGAAAGTATAGGGGGTGAAGTATGAGGAAAGTATAGTGGGTGGTTTATGAAGAAAGTATAGTGGGTGAATTATGAAGGAAGTATAGGGGGTTAAGTATGAGGAAAGTATAGTGGTGAATTATGAGGAAAGTATAGTGGGTGAATTATGAGGAAGGAGAATAATACAGAAATTATAATGGGTAAATTATGAAGAAAGTATAGCAGGTGAATTACGAGGATAGTATATTGGGTGAGAGTGAAGCAAATGACGTTTAAGTGCTCAAGTACATGCAACAAGTGTTAAGTTTCTCGGTTTGTATCTAGGAACGTTATTTTCCCACGTTTGCTTTAACTTGCTTTCGCGTCTGTTTGTTTGTTTGTTTTTCCAATCAAATCTTGCGATCGAAATTTCGGGCACTTCCCAGTTAGCTAGCGCGCTGAAATTTTCAGGGAAGCTTTGTTTCCGATGACAATATAATATTCAATTATTATTATTACTAAATTGATCCATGGAAAAATTGTATTGATCATTTTAGACCCCTATATATTTGTACAAAAAAAGGGACATAACCTAGTAATTGTAATTTGATGAAAACAAGGTTCGGTACTTTCCCTCTTGTGGCTTACTGAATGAACGAGCACGCGATTGGCTGAGTAGTGGTCCCGCGGTGTTTGTGTACAAACCTGTGGAAATCTGACTGATGAAAAACGTGGGGCGCCGTGATTTTCTTACAGTTTCTAATACTGTTGACTCTCTACAAGCTCCCTAATAAAAGTCAATAGTATTATCTAATCAATAGTAATATAACATTTACATCTTATATTAACAATGACCGATAAAAAAACTTTTACTTCGGCGCCCCACGTTTTTCATCGCTTATAGTAGAGTGATCGCTTGCATTATTGTGATGTATAGCATTTATTTTCTACTTTTTAGTTTAATCAGAAAACGTGGGTTTTTAAAAACTTTTTTAATGATAATTTTTTCCCTTTGACTATTCCTCACACTGACCTGATCTTTTGACCTAAAATGTTCCCTTGAACTTTCATTTCTATTTACGTTTTTTTTTCTGCTATGGCCGTATATTTTACCTGAATTTTCCGTTTATCTCAGGTTTACCTTTAACCCTGCGTCTCTCTTTGACCTTGTATTTCCCCGTGACCTTGTATTTCCATTTGACCTTGTATTTCGCTTGAATCTTTTGTTTTATTTTTAAATCTAGTTTTATTGACATCTGCTACTTTCTACCTGGATAAATTAGTCTTACCAGTTAAATAAGTTTGTTCAACCTCTATTTGTGTCCGTATCCTCACCTTAACTGCCTCCTGTTGAGCAAGAAACGGTTTCGCGTTATCCACGTTGGATATATTGTCAGCTGACCCATCAGCTAAAACCACAACCAACGCCGCAGACCTGGAAACACAAGGTAACATCAGCAACATGCAACCGTGCCGTCATGTGAAAATACTTAAAATATGTTTCAATGATCTGATTAATCAACCAAACACACATATCCGTATACACAGTAAACAAGAACTAAGTGGATATGAAATTAGCACACACCAAACTATAATAGACCTGAATGGTGTACATATTAGACCTTAAAGGACCTGAAATATGTACACATCAGACCTAAGTGGATATGAAATATGTACATATTGGATCTACAGAAGGGAGTGAGGGGGACCGTTGTGGTTGAGTCGGTAAAACTCATGGTTGCTAAACCGAAAAGTCTCGAGTTCGAACCCTCTGCTGCCTTGTATTTTGTTCTTGATTGAACAAATGCCTTGGAAGCAAATCCAAAATGAAAAGCAGGCAGAAATCGGAGTCAATCACAAGTTTACACGTAATACTTAATTATGTTGGAGGGGATCCCTTCTCGCCCTAAAAATAAGAACGAAGAAGGATCTAAGAAGGGTAATGATATATGTCCGTATCAGATGTAGGGGACACGAAATATGTACACATCTGACCTAATTTGACCTGACATAAGTACACACCAGACCTAACTAGACACTGGTGAAGCTAGCTACATCACCTACTCAGCGGCCAGCAGTCTCCTGCGTGTTGCTGCAGGGGTTGGCACTTGAATGTCCCAGAGTTTAACAGTTTGTGGACTAGGCAGGGAACTCTGCAGTTGATGTACTAAGTCATCTCTGTATAATATGTTTAACTTTTAGTCGGGACAAAATACATATAAAATTATATATATATATATATATATATATATATATATATATATATATATATATATATATGTGTGTATATATATATATATATATATATATATATATATATATATATATATATATATATATATTAGGAAAACTGGACGTGCACAAAATATATTGCATTCAGCGTTTCTTTATGGCATTTTATCTGAGAAATATGAGGGAAGGGGGGCACTTGAAACTCTCGGCTGGGAGGGGGGGGAACACTGATAAAAATATATAAATATTCTTAAATTCTATATAAATTATACTTATTTTAAATTTCGTTCGTGGGGGACAAGCTTATAGGGACTCTTCCTTCCCCCCCCCCCCTCCCAAAGAGATGACTGAAAGAAATTCTGAATAACTAGTGTGATGAAAAACATTAGCAAACCACCCTAATTACACAAGAACACAAAGAACAGGTGCAGAGTTTACCTTTGTATGGTGGCCAGGTCCTGGTTAACGAGAACTGCCACCAGGTGTTTGTCCTTGTTAAAAGTGTCCAGTCTGACCAGCCCTACATGAGACACGGTGCCGTTGACCGTCGTAGTCTTCAGGATCACCCACTGGAAGTAGCGGGCGTTTTCAAAAATACGATCCTGTAGGTTCACAGTCACAGCGCCAGTCTCGCTGTTCCGTGCAAACAAAATACTTAAAATTGGGCATATATATATATATATATATATATATATATATATATATATATATATATATATATATATATATATATATATATATATATATACACAATAATAAATAAATATATTTATAACTATATATATTTATATATATACATTCGAATATAAAAATACATTATATATATATACATTTTACTATATATGCGCATATATATATATATATATATATATATATATATATATATATATATATATATATATATATATATGTGTGTGTGTTTTTTGTTGTTGTTTTTGTTTCTTTACAAAAACAAACTGCAATATTTTTAAAAGAATTCTTGATTTATTCAAATTTCAACTTCTTTTTTCATGAAACTCTAGCATCTCACTTAATTAACTCACCTATTGATATTGAAGACGTTAGTGCCCACAGAGGTGAACTCGTTCTTCCTGGTTACCGACGTGTCAAGGCCGAAATCTGCCGTGGTCAGTGTACAGACGACGTCACCAGCCGCAGCGTCGTGTGGGAATTCCCGGGAGATGAAGCTTGTCGTGTTGAATGCTGGGTGGGACATTTTTTATCAGATGTCGATTATATTCTCAAATGGTGTGGTTTAGTGAACACTGCTTAGTTTGTCAAATGTGATTTTTTTTTTTTAGTTTTTTAAAGTGACGATGTGAACGATAGGTGGGTTTTGTATAAGGTGTCGTCGATTAGTTTGTCAAATGTGATGTCATGAACGATGGGGATTTTTTTTTAAAAATAATAATAGTTTTACTATTCACGCGTGCAATGGCAAAAACTTTACATCATTATTTTGGTTTAAGGGGGATTGGTCTGAGTGTGTTCACCTCCATGTCTTGTCTATTTGTATACTGGTCTCAATTCAATAGCAGCAGTACCTTGCTGCTAAATATACGCATACGCTTCTAACGACAAACAGTGGATTATTTGGATTGGTCAATACTTTCGTTTTCAGATAACCAAGCTTGCCAAACCTATACTTTATTGCTTAGGTATAACGCAGAGGAAATTAGTAGATTTTGTGAAGGCTTTAATTGCAGCTGTTTTATTTTTCGAGTAAATATTATAGGAGCAATAAAAGTAAAAAAAAATAAGGTAAAGTTCCCTTAAGGAATCTGATGATCCATGGAGCAATTAGTACAATTCACCTGTTTAAGTGACTTAGGTTAATACTATGCCCAGTCGCCATTACTTTCCCCAACGTGAGTTAGATACTCATTACAGCTGGAAGAACTCAGGGACGTTCAAACTCGAGATTTTTGGGTTAGCTGTCTAACGCGCTACCACGAGGCCACGCCGTCGTTCTTAGGAGTATTAAACTTTGTAAATGATCAGACGTTAAGTGGTTAATGTTTTACCTGTAAGAATGATGGTTTCATTAACATCCGTCACTTTGATGATCACAGTGGCAGTGGAGGTCAGCTGGGGGTCACCACGGTCAGTAGCTGTGACGTACAAGCTGAAGGAGGGGAAAACCTCGTAGCTGAATTTTCGTTTCACGGTTATTGTTCCCGTTTGATCCAAGTCAAAATACGTTGAGCCTTGTTGGTTGGCTATGGCCAGGTCAAATTGGCTGTTGGGATTGTTGAGTTCATCAATGTCGGTGACAGTCAGCTGACCAATGAATTGACCAACAGGAACGTTTTCTACAGTTGTGAACGTCAATATTGATTGACCGAATGTGGGGTAGTTGTCGTTGACGTCAACAACTTTGACAACCACTTTCTGTTTTGAAAAAAAAACTATATTTATTACTAAACAATGTACACGATGAATTGTTCTTCATTTTGTCTGCACAACCCTATAGAACGCATGTTGTAAAAATTTACTATTTTTACTACTAAAAATTAATAGCCTAACCTTCAAATTTTATAATCCATATCTAAGTTCAGTAAAATTATAATATTTCAAATAGTAAAAACATCAGTTCTTAGAGACAGATCATGCATTTCTTACTTTTAGAGCTGCCTATACATTAGTCTTGTAAAACTGACCTTAGTGACGTATGTGCCGTCGTAACGTTCGACAGACACCTCCAAGACGTAATAGGCGTATTTCTCCCTGTCTAAAACTTTATTGGTGATCAGAACACCAGTAATGGTTAGCGTAAACGTTCGGTCATAGTTACCGCTTCTAAAACAAACAAAAGATAACGAGATATTTGAATACGTATGCCTATAGTTCAAATTAAAATACTTCAAATAATGACAAAATTATCAAGGATTTATCGTCCGTGAATTTATTTAAACTTAAATTTACAAGATACTCAATTGTTGATTTTTTTTTAAATAATGTATTCAAATATTAATTATAAGTGTGTAACATTAACATACATTCATAATAGTAAAGATGGTAATGTTTGATTTTTATCAAGCTTTTTTATCTTTTCTAATAAACCACACAACCCGTTATCCCTTGGATAAATTGGGAGGCGGCAGGAAATATACAATTAACAAAAGTACTTACACTATTGTAAACGTGTCTCCAGTCCAATCTTTCTCAGGTGGTATAGTGTCTACTACGGTTCCTATAGGCTGGTTCTCCTTCACACTAAATGAATAGTCTCCAGAAGGTGCCTGAGATACAGGGTTTACAGTGATACCGATAGTAGCAGTACCGTTAAGTGGCGGAATACCCTGGTCGATCGCAGCGATGACAAGCGTATAAAAGCTCTTGGAATATTCCAGTGGTTTAGTCGTTTTTACTTTTCCGTTTGAAATGTCCACATTAAATAGACCGTCGTCATTTCCACTTTGAATGATGTAATTCAATGCCCCGTTAACACCAACATCTCTGTCTGTAGCGTTGACATCATACAGCAATGTCCCTACTACAATGTTTGAGAAAATCTCGAGGTCAACTCTGGTGAAACCCAAATTTGGTGTGTTATCGTTCTCATCTTTGACGGTCACAGTGACAGTCGCTGAGGCTGTGTTGGACCCATCTGACGCAGTTACAATGATGACGTGAGTTCTGTTAGACTCGTAGTCCAAACTTTTGTTCAATGAAAGTTCACCTGTGGATTTCGCTATCTGGAAAATCCCAAAACTGTTAGTAGCAATAGCGTACGTCACCTCACCAAATGTTCCAGAGTCCAAATCTGTAGCCAGGACGTAGAAGAAAGTCTCCGCCAAAGGAAATGTTTCGGGAACTGCTACGTTGTAAACGCTACTTGTAAATATAGGCGAGTTGTTGTTGAAATCAGTGACGCTTATAACGACCACACTGGTCGATGATCGACTACTGGCCCCTGCATTATCTACCGCCTTAACGTAAAAGTTGTAGCTCTTTGCTGTCGAATATTCCAGAGAGCCAGTCAACGATATCACACCTGTTGTTGAGCTGATAGTAAAAGGCGCGCCTGACTCAATTGAGTATGTCAACTTTCCAAACTGACCAACATCCTTGTCTGTTGCTGTGACTTGTCCAACGATTGTTCCAGTTTTTGCCGTTTCGTTGACTGACCAGGAGTAGATAGTTTGTGAGAAAACAGGGTCGTACAAATTGACCTGTGTGACGGTTATAGTTAAGTTGAACGTACTGGTTAGTGAATTATTGAGAATGTTTTGTGCTAGTACAACTAGTGTGTATGAGCTTGTGTTAGCGTAGCTTAAAGGTTCGATTAGTTGTAGTTCTCCACCCAATGGCTCGATGTAAAATTTATTTTGAGAGTTGCCGGACTTTATTGAATAAAGCAAATCACCCCCGGCATGTTCTTTTGCTCCGTTAGCTGTCGCGTCCATGTTGTATATTAAATCTCCTGCTGTTGTCGTTTCTAACACAGAAATAGAGGCTGATGTTGGGTTAAAAAGGGGCTGTTTGAACTCTGGGTCTATGGTCACTGTGACTAAAGCTGTAGAGTAGCGAGGTGGGGTTCCATGGTCAGCTGCCATTACTTCAAGAATATAAAGTGAGTTGGTGTTTGCGTCTAGAAGGATATTTGATGTCAAAACTTTTCCTACAAACTTGAAGGCGTTGTTTATGTTTCCTGATGTGATATTTAAAGTCAAGGTGCTGTTGGCGCCATTGTCAGTGTCTGTTACTGTAAGTGTAACTATAGACGCACCTGAAGCAGTGCCGTGTTTTGTATTGACTGCATAAATTGCTGGACTAAATACCGGATCATTGTCATTGACGTCTGAAACTGTAATGCCGATGGTTGTTGTATTTGTTTGATTATTGGTATTGTTTACCTTAACTACCAAGGTCAGTGACTGATAACTCTCGCGGTCCATTGGATAGTTTAAGTAAATCCCACCTAGCCTTTCATTGACAGAAAACTGATCTGTATTTGACTGACTGGTGATGTAGTAGGTCAACTGTGTACCGAAATCTTTGTCGCTGGCGGTGATGTTAAAGACGTTAGCACCCGCAGCCGTGTCTTCAGGTAAAGTGATATTCACAGTTCCACCTGGACTGATTAATATTGGATTCTGCTCGCTCACATCTTTCACTGTTATAAAGACGAGGGTAGTGCTGCTTAGTTTATTTGGCGTGCCGCGATCTGTAGCACACAGAACTAGTGTGTAGGATTGTGTCGTCTCGTAGTCCAACACACTAGCCAATGAGAGAATGCCTGTGTTGGAGTTGTATTTAAAGACATTTCCTGTGTTTCCAGATAGGATAGAATAATCTATAGTTGCATTGTTACCACTGTCTGGATCTGTAGCTGTGATGGGATAGGATGTAGCTAATCCAGCTGTGCCTTCAAAGATAGCATAATTGTAGTAGCTGTTACCGAACTTTGGAGCATTATCGTTACAGTCCAATACTGATACAGTTACAGTTCCAGAAGTTACAAGACCTGAGGCAGTCGATGCTTTCAATACAAGAGTGTATGACGTATAGGTAGTTTCTCTGTCAAGGGACTTGACAAGTCTGATGGTGCCCTGAGTTTGGTGAATGTTGAAGAAAAGTAATTCGTTGCCGCTCAGAATTGAATATGATATTAACTCGTAGGTCCCTGAAGCTGAAGCTGTCATTATAATGTCCGATACATTTGTGTTTTCGTAGACCTGTACTACTTTTGATAGACCAGTAAAGACTAGGGTCTGGCTAATTTTTACTTCTACTGCTATTGTTGTTGTTCTTGCGGGTGTTTGACCATCCGACACGCTAAACACTAACGTGTAATCCCCAACCTGGAATGGACCAGACGACTTCAACCTGACCGACTGTTGAGCTGAGTCGACCTCAAAGAGATTATAGGTGTCTCCAGAAACTAACGTGTATTGTAGGCCATTGGCTGACACGTCTCTATCCGTGCAGGAAAACTTCCATAAGAAATTAGTGACGTCAGTGCTGGGTGTGATGAGAAAGGGAGCGATGGGGTCACACACGGGCTGATTATCGTTCTCGTCTTTTACGTTGATGGTCACCGTACAACTTCCGGTCAGTTTTGTCGTGTCTGATTGGTCTTCTGCAAGTACGATAACCGTGTAGTAGTTCCGAACTTCCGCATCCAGACCGATACCAGTAGTCAGATTTCCCGTTACTCGATCAATAAGAAAAGGTTCTGTGATGTTCAGCAGTGAGTACAAGACGTGACCGTCATTGCCATCGTCACCGTCAGAGGCGGAGACTCTTGTGACAAACGTGCCTGCAAGTTATTGAAAGAACCAATGATAGTTATCTATTGCTATGTTTCCTTATTCTGTTTACACTAAGTGTTATTAACTGATTTTATTTCACAAAAACATGTAAAAATGCATTTCAAGCAATCGAAACACAATGATAGGCCTACTTAAACTGCAGAAATCAGAAGCTAAATTGGCAAGTAGAAGCAGACTACGGTATTTTGATATTTTACCGTAAGGTTAAAATACTATTCCTAAACTACCACTAAACATTTAGCATACTATAGAAGTGAAGGTGTTTTACATTTCTTATGTTGTTTGTTGTTGTTTGTTTGTTGTTGTTTTTTTATCCTTTTTTTAAAAATAAACTTAGTACTTAAAACTCCCTTAAATACACCAACATTTAAAAATAATACCTGGAATACTTGATTCACTAATATACGCAATCATATTTGTTTGACATGTGGGCGTGAACTCATTAGAAGGCAGAACACTGATGTAAACATAAGCTGTTGACGTCATGGTTGGGTCTTGTTTATCTACTGCATTAACTTCTAATAAGTATGACGTATCTGTCTCATAGTCCAGCTTCCCGTTGACCGATACATCTCCAGAGTTGGGGTCGATTCTGAAGTAGTGGCCTATAAGTAGATGGTCAGCTTGTAAGATAAAAATTGTTATGGTAACGTGTAATACTTTTTGAGACTCCTAAACTTAAAGAATATTGTTGATAGTATTTTTTTTAACAAAGTCATAAGTATCTCAGCTTTTCTCAAATAAGATGTTTTCCTTGCATTGACAAAAATCATCAGTAATTATCCCTAACATAGATATATGTATTCCTCTGCTTTATTGATGAAAATAATAATTTGAAAAAGAATCATATATATTCATAACTCTAAACTACCTTATTTAATTAACGAAAAGCGATTAATATTCTAAAAACTTAAGCCTACCGTAGTTCATGTAAAAAGTGACAACTCTAAACTACCTTATTTAATTAACGAAAAGCGATTAATATTCTAAAAACTTAAGCCTACCGTAGTTCATGTAAAAAGTGACAACTCTAAACTACCTTATTTAATTAACGAAAAGCGATTAATATTCCACAAAACTTAAGCCTACCGTAGTTCATGTAAAAAGTGACAGGTTCATTTGTTTCAACTCTGAGAACTGTTGTGGGTTTGGTGGCGTTCTCTCGGACTGAGCCTTCGTAAAGAGACTGTGGGGGGACATGTTTGATATTTTGCTGTCAACGTATGACTTTTTTATGTCGTATGAAATTTTAACCAACGCCTTTAAATATTGGAATTTGTATTTTACCATTTCACAGATTGTCAGAATATAATAACAGATTATCCCATATACTTTCAATTTTGAGTACATTTAATTTGTAAGAGACAACGAGGCCTAACATATTCTTTTGTGTTACCTTTCTAATTCTCTACATAATTCTCTAAGTCTGTTATAGTTAAAACAATAAACACCTAGCTTATTCTCCAATGTTTAATAGTTTGGTCCAGAACATCCCATTATATATATATATATATATATATATATATATATATATAGTAACTACTACCTGAGCTTTGACCTGGATTGACCCTAAGGATAGTATGGGGAATCCACCTGGCGCCTAAAAGCCTCAAGTTGAGGATTTTAAAGCGTGCAGTGAAATGTGATGACTCACCATGTTAAATACGGGAGGCCCGTCGTTGACGTCGATCAGATTGATGGTCAGTGGCGCGGTGCTGGTGTTGGTTGTCTGGTCAGAAGAATACGCCTCCACAGTACAGTTGACAGAGGCTGATGAAGTGTAGTCCATTTGGGCCGAGACGACCACTAGACCTTTCAAAACAAATGTCAACATCACACGGTTTTAGATACACTCGCGACATTCATCCAATGAAAATATCAAGTAATTGTTAAAACAAATATCGAAACAATGCCATGTAACATAATTCGACAAGTTTTACTTTTGCGTTTTACTATAATTTGAAGTTTACCTTTGGCATTCTACTTAAATTTTATAATTTTTGCCTTTGACTTCTACTATAATTAGACAACGTTTTACCTTTGATATTTTACTTTAATTTGATGACTTTTACCTGTGACAATGTACTATAATTTGACAATTTTTACCTGTGAATTTATTTATGGTAAACCAGTCTTTGGAGCAGTTCTTTAAAGCATACGTAATTCTTGAATTTTCAGTATTAGTTGCATCGGCATCACTAGCATTCACTTGAATAACTGATGTTCCAATCGGCACATCTTCTTTAATACCTATAGGGCATATATATATATATATATATATATATATATATATATATATATATATATATACAGGCATTTGAAAAATTCGATTTCTGTTTAGTGCACATTTTTCGTTTTCATTTTAAATAATTATAATATTTTAAAATTTTCAAAGAAAACTACCATTATAAATGTGAATATCAATGACATACTTGTTGAAAGATTAGCTTTGAACACTGGGATATTATCGTCCACGTCTAGAATAAAAAAGATTGCTGAAACAGTTGTCGTGCGGGCGGGTGATCCCGAATCTGTTACTTTTATTGTGGCTGGTATATTTCTCGTCTGCTCGTAGTCCTGCTGGATGTTCAAGGTCACTTCACCAGTAGAGGTTATGTTAAGACTGGAGTTGGCTGAAAATTATAGACAGCATTTCAAAAATTGTTTTCCTATTTTTTCCATTATTTATTTTTTTGGTAAGATTTAATTTTTTTTCAAATTAGACTAGTAACTACTATTAATATAAAAACGTTAATTCAAATATTATCAGAGCCCGTCTATATTTTAAAAAAAAAAAACGTCAGCTGTTTATCAAGTTTATGGAATTAAAAACATTTAACTTTTTTTGGTCTATCGAAAAAAAAGTGGGTGAATTGTGAAATATGTCAACGGCTGGATATCATTATTTAGATTTCTTTATTTATTTTTTTCGCATCTATAAATAAGATTTTAAAAATATACAATCTTAGAAAAAACTACCCATCTATAAATATGATTTTTTTTAAAAATACAATCTTAGAAAAAATCACCAATCTATAAATATGATTTAAAAAAAATAAAATCCTAGAAATAAAAATCACCCATCTATAAATATGATTTAAAAAAAAAATCCTAGAAATAAAAATCACCATACCTGTTGCAATGGTGTAAGTAAGGCTATTGCCAGTTGAGTCGTTATCCGTGCATGAAAGTTTGGCCAGAGGTTTACCTGGTGGCTCACTCTCAAGGAAACTGGAGGCGATTGTGTGCATGTTACAGACCTAATAGTACAGAACACAAAATTAATACATATTTGGTTACAGAAAATAATTGTGTTTTTTTTTTTCAATCCGTTTCTGTACTAGAGAATAATTACCCAAACGAAAAAGATCCCAGTCGAAATAGCCTCGACAAAACGGCTCCATTCTAAAATGTTTTACAAGTGATATTTCGAAATGAGGCGTGTTAGCGTCATTCTTTTGTTGTAGACCGTTTGAGTGTGTTAGTTCATTCGCGAAAAATTTTGTCGATAGGTTTTATATCCGTCCGTTTTGAAGGTGCACGAAACCAGTTACGTACTTTTTAACCAACAGAATTTTTTTTTTTACAAATCTAGTCACTGTAAAGATTAGACTTACAGGTGAATTGTCATTGACGTCACTGATGTTAATAGTTACATCTAAGGTGGTTTTGTTATCAGTGTCCGGGTTGTAGGCTTCAAGTCTGAGCGTGTACGACTTGTTGTTCTCGTAGTCCAGTTCATCAATTAAAATAACCTCGCACTTTTGGCTGTCTATAGTGAACTTTTGCTCATCATTGCCGCCTGGGAAAACATAATTCAGGTGTTAGTCAGAAGTTTGAATAGGGTGGGAGGGATCAGCGTGGTCGAGTCGGTAAAGCTTATGGTTGTTAAACGGAAAAGTCTCATGTTCGAACCCTCGGGCAGATGAGGCTTGCCAGCTGGAGACAGCCACTCTTCTAGGAGAGACAACTCCAAAATCAAACAACTGCTGCCGTGTAGTTTGTTCTTGGTTGGACAAAGGCTATGGAAGCTAATCCAAAAAGAAAAGCAGGCCTAAATGGTGCATAACCAGTTGACACGTATACTTGGTTGTGTTGGAGGAAATCTCTACCAGGGATTCTATTCAGACGTTTAAAATCAATCACACACCGAACCAATCACACACCGAACCAATCACACACCAACCCAATCACACACCAACCCAATCACACACCAACCCAATCACACACCAACCCAATCACACACCAACCCAATCACACACCAACCCAATCACACACCAACCCAATCACACACCAACCCAATCACACACCAACCCAATCACACACCAACCCAATCACACACCAACCCAATCACACACCAACCCAATCACACACCAACCCAATCACACACCAACCCAATCACACACCAATCCAATCACACACCAATCCAATCACACACCAACCCAATCACGCACCAACCCAATCACATACTAATCCAATCCAATCACACACCAACCCAATCACACACCAACCCAATCACACACCAACCCAATCATACATCGAACCAATCACACACCAACCCAATCATACATCGAACCAATCACACACCAACCCAATCACACACCAACCCAATCACACACCAACCCAATCACACACCAACCCAATCATACATCGAACCAATCACACACCAACCCAATCACACACCAACCCAATCACACACCAACCCAATCACACACCAACCCAATCATACATCGAACCAATCACACACCAATCCAATCACACACCAACCCAATCACGCACCAACCCAATCACATACTAATCCAATCCAATCACACACCAACCCAATCACACACCAACCCAATCACACACCAACCCAATCATACATCGAACCAATCACACACCAACCCAATCATACATCGAACCAATCACACACCAACCCAATCACACACCAACCCAATCACACACCAACCCAATCACACACCAACCCAATCATACATCGAACCAATCACACACCAACCCAATCACACACCAACCCAATCACACACCAACCCCATCACACACCAACCCAATCACACACCAACCCAATCACACACCAACCCAATCATACATCGAACCAATCACACACCAACCCAATCATACATCGAACCAATCACACACCAACCCAATCACACACCAACCCAATCACACACCAACCCAATCACACACCAACCCAATCACACACCAACCCAATCACACACCAACCCCATCACACACCAACCCAATCACACACCAACCCAATCACACACCAACCCAATCATACATCGAACCAATCACACACCAACCCAATCATACATCGAACCAATCACACACCAACCCAATCACACACCAACCCAATCACACACCAACCCAATCACACACCAACCCAATCACACACCAACCCAATCACACACCAACCCAATCACACACCAATCCAATCACACACCAATCCAATCACACACCAACCCAATCACGCACCAACCCAATCACATACTAATCCAATCCAATCACACACCAACCCAATCACACACCAACCCAATCACACACCAACCCAATCATACATCGAACCAATCACACACCAACCCAATCATACATCGAACCAATCACACACCAACCCAATCACACACCAACCCAATCACACACCAACCCAATCACACACCAACCCAATCACACACCAACCCAATCACACACCAACCCAATCATACATCGAACCAATCACACACCAACCCAATCATACATCGAACCAATCACACACCAACCCAATCACACACCAACCCAATCACACACCAACCCAATCATACATCGAACCAATCACACACCAACCCAATCATACATCGAACCAATCACACACCAACCCAATCACACACCAACCCCATCACACGCCAACCCAATCACACACCAACCCAATCATACACCAACCCAATCATACACCAACCCAATCACACACCAACCCAACAAACCTACACCTAAGACACGACTTACCTACAATCCTGACGTATGTTACCTCGTCACCCGACCCAGGTAAATCTAGGTCCGTCACCCCGCATCTCGCCACCACGGTGCCAAGCGGCGTGTCCTCTGGGACGTCCGTCCTGTACGGTGACAGGTCAGTGATGCTCGGGGGGTTGTCGTCAACGGACAGCACGCTGACCACCACTGTGACGTCAGTGACGTTTGCGTTACCGTCATCTACGTCAACGATCAACTGGTAATGATTGGTCGGTTGTATTTAGGATTTAGTTGGAGTTAAAGGAGTTCATTTAGGATTAAATGCGCTGCTTATATTTAGGATTAAGAAGATTCAATAAGATTACTCGGTTTTGTGTTGGGATAATTGGGTGTTTGGGTTCGATTTATGGATTTTGGCTAGAAATAATCTGTTTTGTTTATAATTAGTAAGTTTTTGTTAGTATACATAAGTCTTAGGATTAATAGGGCACAGTCATGATTTGAATTAGTGGTCTTTTTGTACGCTTAATGGGGTTTATGAGGAAATTATTTAAAAGGGAAAGAAAGGTTCAAAAGTTAAGTATCTCTGTGTATATCATATACATGTATGGCGTTTTAGCTGTAGATATGTACGATTTAATGATCCGTAATTTATACAGTGTAGAATATACTATTATTTGATAATAGAATCTCCGGTTAAGTTATGTCGAGCTACGCGGCTCTTCACCCCCATCCCCCACCCACCTCACCCCCCTCTTCCCAGTTGTTGTTTTTTTTATTTTAATATAAAATACACATATCTGTTGGGAAAACAACAACAAAGACGGGGAGACAACTCACAATGTACGGCGTAGAGTAACTCCCGTTAACTTGAAGTTCCGCATCCAGTTTTTGGGTGACCCATAGTTCACCTGTGCTGGGATCGATATTAAAATAACCCGCGGTGTCTCGATAACTTGTGAGGCTGAAGGAGTAGCTGATGTTGCCTCCGTCAGGATCGGTACAGTTCAGGTCGTATAGTGGTGTGATAGGCAGCGTATTCTCGGTAACGTTGATGAAGTGGATGGTTTGACTGCATTTGGGAGTTCCGCTATCTGCCAGGTGAAGTAGAGTTACTGAGTAGTTTTTATTGCATCATTTTATAATAATGTTTTTTTTTCTACTAGATAATGTATGTATACCTAAATTGTTGAGTACCAAAGTAATTTTTATTAGTTATTAAAAGTACAAATTGTATTCACTGTAGAAATTCAGAAAATATAGAACATAGATTATTCATAGATATAAGATTCTGAATATAGGGCTGAAATAAGTATAGATATAAAAGTGTTTTTTTTATTTTTTATTTTTAAAGTATTATAATTTACATTCTACAATGAAGTTTGTTCGACAGAAGAAATTTAACATTTTTTAAAAAACGTGTTAAAAATTTTATGTACAGTTTATGTGTGTATCCCATTATTTTTGGTATTCTTTTTGCAGTTTATTCTATTTGCAGTCACCATTTTTTATTTTAAGTATGAAAAATAGCCCCCCCCCCCCCCCCCCTTACATATAGTGATTGTCTTACCAACGAAGACTATAAATCCACAAAGTTCAGCTATCGTTACCCACGTGATAAAACAGAACTTGACTTGATGCCTCATGGTCACACATTACGCTATTGCTCTGGAATAATGATGTACATGTTCAGAACATATCGAAATCGAACTCGTTTATTTAACACATTTATCTCTTCCAGAGGCACTAATTTTTGTCACTTAATTTTTAAAATGTTATGAAATTTTAGAATAAATACTTACATCGTGTTGTTATTATTACGTTTTTTCAGAATCTCTACCGTTTACAAAAGGTTATTGAAATGTATAGTTTTTCACAAAGTCCTATTGAAATCACAAATATACACAAGCCTCTATCCAAATTGATCACTTAATGTTTCAATTGAATTTAAATCTCTGTGTTTTTTGCAAAGATTAAAAGCGAATTTCTCCCTCCGTGCACCACACACCATATCCACTACCAGGGCCACTTCCTCAATGTCTCATCTGGTCTCTACCTGGATCACGTCGCCACCCGCGTCCTAACGACAGCAGACAAACATGACCGCAAACTTATCAACTCGTGACAACACTTTCTCCAGGCTGGAATCTACCGACAACAGCTGATAGTGGGGATCGAGCGTTGGCGAAACCTGGGCTGAACATGGAATACTTGTATCAGTTTTCGTAAAATCTCAATTAAAACTCTCGCCTGTATTACTTTATATATGTAAGTTAGTATGGCCAGATCAGTTTGCCGTCTATTTCCTTTATGATAGTTAGTTAACTCGACGTGGTCGAGTGGGTAAAGCTCATTGGTTGCTAATCCGATAAGTCTCGCGTTCGAACCCTAGGGCAGAGGAGATTCGACAGTTGGGAACAGCAACTCTAGGAGGGACAACTCCAAAAATCAAACAACTGCTGGCTTGTAGTTTGTTCTTAGTTGGACATACGCTATGGAAGCAAATCCAATTTTTTAAAAAGAATTTAGTCTGAAATTGAAGTCAACGGCCTATATGGCGAATAATAAGTTGACACGTATACTTTATTGTGTTGGAGTCCAACAGTAAAATTACGAACGCAGAAAAGTTAGTTAATTTTCATTTCCGTAGTGGCATCTCAGTTTCTCGTCGTAGTTTTCTTTTAACGCTGAGTAACTCTATAGCTTCAATGTTCTGCCTTTTCGCTACGACAATTATTCTCTAATACACGCATAATTTTGTTACATATCATATCTTCTGGATTTTTTCTGTCTTCCCCTGTTCTTGCTTATTCAAGATAATTGTTTAGGTCGCTAAATGTGGTCCAGTTTTATAGAAAACGACTGTTTACTTAAACTTAATTCTAAAGTCGAGAGTTTTGTTAATGGCATAGTGAGTCCTTGAACTTGCACTGATATAAATCGTACCGCAGTAAGCCGAGATCGATAAAGCTTAAATGGATACCTAGGCTTAAGGGATAATCTGTCTGGAATTTTCTGTTGTTTTGCTGCTTATAGTTTGTTTTTTAATATAATCTTTTCACATAGGCAGATGAACTTGAGATCATGTTTCAGTGACATCGGCATAAAGGGAGATAATGTGGGCATCCTTACCCCCAGCCGCCTTAGTTTTTTTAATGTGAGTTAGGTACCCTTCAGAGCTGAGTTGAGCTCCAGATCCAAACTCGAGATTTTCATGCCGGTAGCCGTCAGCTCCACCAGCTAACCACGCCGCCCCATAACTTTTTGTTCTAATTTTTTATTGCACAAAGTAGTTTTTGAAGCTTGTCTTATTACAGACAGTAAAATTAATCACCAATTAATAGGATAATAATCTTACATGATAAAATTACAAGAGTTTTAATCCTGCCCTGAGACAATTTTCCCCCTCAAATCAGGGCTGATATTTTGATACGGATGACATAATGTTTTTAGGACATTTTTATAGGGAATAGTACAACGTGTCAATCATATAATTTTTAAATGTCTAATATGAAAATAAAATCGATACCATTTTAAAATATCAGGCTTGTCAGCATGTAAACTATGCAATCAATCAGTTCTGTCTTATCAACGACCCTGCCTGGTCGTATCTAAAAGTAGATTTTCTAATGGCGTATCTTAAAAGTAACATCGATCTGACACTTTTATACGTGTGTTTAGATACGTCTTAAGGTATCTAACAGAAGATTTTCTAATGGCATATCTTTAAAGTAACATCGATCTTAGACTATTGAAGTGTGTTCGGGTACGTCTTAAGGTTTCAAAATGTGCATCTACTAGCATTGACATGCGCTAATGGGTTAATATTTAGTATACTACAAGATAAGAAGGTATTTTTACAAGGGTGTCTATGTGTATACTCTGGAAAATAAAAGTTTCTTATGTTATGATGATAAAGGAAAAGGCTTGGCCTGCCAAAACGAAAGACGCGAGTTCGGATCCCGTGCTCGAGTCTGTAGGACTTCCCAGAGTCCACCCAGCACTGATGGGAATTTGATTGAGGTCAGTGAAATATATGAACTCTACTTCATCTGTCCCATCTAAATACCTTCTGTAGAAATGGTTCAAAACTTAGTTCGAAATCTTTAACCACAAACGAGCATACAATCACACAACCATTTTCAACTCAATAAAAGCTAGCAAATAAAAACATATTGCAATTTGACACATCATTTATTTTTTATAAATGTAAAAACAATAATGTAAACTTTTAAAAAAAAACTCAACATCAACAAGAAAAGAATGTTACTAAAATTTGTAGTTGGTTTATTTTTTTTTATTTTTTTTTCAATAAAAAAGCCTTTATCTCAGATAAATTTGTCAGAAAACCATTGAGTAAAATGTCTAAATAAACTGTATATCACAAACTTTAGGAAGACTTTCTTTTTTTTATATATGTAGCTGATATGTAGATTATAGAAAAAACAACTATCCATTGATTTTACTGTTAAACCTACCATATTTTTAAAACGAGAGTTTTATTGTTACCTTATTTTAACAAAGATTTTGTTTTTGCTTAAAATGAGATTTTGAAGTAAATATTAACTTCCGTTATGTGTCGAAAATTAAAAATAATATTAGCGTGGCTTTAAATTTAAAACCAATTTCGCCCACAACGATCTTTATGTTCCGCTATTTACGGCCATCCCTAATAATCACTGATTTTGTGTAGACACAAATTAATAAGTTCTTTCACTGAAGTCTGTGAAAGTTTGTACAAGTCTGTGTGGAAGTTGCAGAGGAAGAAGTGGGGGGGGGGGGGGGTTGCTGATTTAAGTTAAACATTTCTAATCAAATTGATAATATAAGTCAAAGTATACATATGATTATTCAGCTAAAATAAATTTTGAAGACCATTTGTATTCTCTTTTAAAAAACAATGTTCTTTAATAACGGTTTAAGCTTTACTGGTATTTTCCTTATCATCTAAATCAACTTCAGAAATCTCCTCAACTTTTGAAAGCCTGTCGACTTCTTTGGAATTTCCCTTTTCTTCATGCTCCACTTCGGGAATTTCCTCAAGTTTATGCAGTTTTTCCGATGGCTTGACCTCAGGCTCTTCCGGTGGAACAATGGGGCTTAGGGTGGAGGATATGTAGGTGGCTGTGGCGACTCTGGAGGGGGCCCCGTCCAGGTCAGTGTCCATGTCCTGGAGCCTGTCCCGGAGATTGGCGTCTGATCTGATCAATGAGTCATCTAGAGGACAAAATTATATATTTATATTTTGAACGAAATTATATTGGTGATATTAAAAATCTTATTTCATTATTTCTTTATGTCTGCAGAGTTAAAATGAAATATTGCAGGATATAATAGAAGGCGAAAGTTAAAATCTCTAAATTCGATGTGTTTCTGCTTTTGAATGAAGCTATTCTGTACACTTTTAGCATTGCAATATCAACCAGTTTTATATCATTTAGAGTACTGCAAGAAGATTAAATAAATTTAAATTTCAATAACAAAACATGAAGCTCATACTCTGTCCCTACTACTAAATCAAACCATAAGAGAAACGAATTCGGATCTCGGTTTGCATTTGTGACTCAAACAGAGCCCTGAGACAACTTAGCTTTGATGAGTTGCTGACTTAATTTGGGGGAAAGTAAAGGCGGCTGGGCATAATACTGACCACACCATCTTTTCATATCCCAGGAATTATACGAACTGTGCTTCATCTGCCCAATGGATTGTTAAGTCTAAATAGAAAACTTTTGCAGCAAAGTTATTTCCATTACAACGCAACACACACCGACAGTCATTTATTCCCCCCACCCACTCACTGTAATAGTTACTGGAACTGTCCATGTTCCTCCTGACGTAACTACTGTCGTTATGTGTGAAGTACGTCGATGACATCACTTCCGTGCTAGTGTAAGGATGTTTCACATGCATGAGTGGGTCGCGGATAGACTCGGCTGAATGAACGTCACGAATGAGTTTGGTTGTTGAAGTTGACGTAGGGCCTGCTAAATGGAATAATGATTTTTTTTTGTCAAGACATATTGGCCTACTTGATTTATTAACAAAAAATGCGTTCACCATAACAATCTTGTGAAACTAGATATGTTTTTATTGTCTACCTGCAGACATAAATGTGGACGTCTTCTTTTCGTTTTCCTCTTTTTTAACTGTAAAAAATAACAATGAAATAAGTGAAATAATTTACTTACATATATATGTATATATGTATATATATATATATATATATATATATATATATATATATATATATATATATATATATATATATATATATACGTAATAATTCACACTTTTTAACACTGAGCAACGCGTAATTATTATAAATAGAACTACTGTAAACATGAAATGGTTTGGCTGGGTTTTTTTTTTCTATAATAGTCTTTTGTTCAACTTACCCAATTGTTTCCTGTCTTCGTCCCTGCAACACAAAGAAAAATAATGCACTCAGTCATGAAACATGCTCATATACTTATTACAACACATCGACAAATTAAAGCCTGTAATATATGTCTCGAATAAACTAACAAACACTATGTTGAAATATCATATACATACATAAATGTTGTAATAGCCTGTTTTTTTTTTAATTTACACCATGGTACCACACTGCAATTCATTTAATGAACTTAGCTTACAATGTAGTAAACTAACTTACTACATCTTACAGAGCATAATAACCTACCTTTTCCTGCGACAGTAGGCCACAAGACCTAATGACCTGTCTTTTCCTGCGACAGGAGAACACTTTACCTACCTCTACCCGCGACAGTAGACCACATGACCTACCTCTTACTATGGCAAAAGACCACTTGACCTAATGACATCTTTTCCTGATGCAGCAGACCACATGACCTACCTTTTCCTGCGACAGTAAACCACATGACCTAATGACCTGTCTTTTCCTGAGACAGCAGACTACATTACCTACCTGTATCCGCGACAGTAGACCACAAGACCTACCACTGCCTGCGCCGATAGACCACATGACCTAACGACCTACCTTTTTCTGATGCAGCAGACCACATGACCTACCACTGCCTACGCCAATAGACCATAAGACCTAACGACCTACCTTTTCCTACGACAGTAGCAGCAGTAGACGAGTACACCAACGATGACAGCAATGAGCACGAGAGCTGCCAGACAAGCGAACACGATGAGGATGATCATGGAGGTGCTGAGACTCGAGTCTGTGACGTTGTCTGTGTAGGGCAAGACTTTGGACACGGGAATCGTGCCAGTGGCGGCGGAGGCGGGGGTCCCGTCGGCTGATTTTTGCAGTTGCTGGGGACGATTGGAGAGAGTGATAAAACATTCATTAACTTTACCTCCTGCCTCCCATACTTTTTATACTATCTTCCTCTTCCCATACCTCAACTCCACTGGTTATATATAAACGCCCTCCCTCTCCTCCCATATACCATCGGTCATACATTCGAATTCCCCCTCCATATACCACTAATTATACACTCTACCTCCCCCTTCATAAGCTCGACACTCCTCCCCCCCCCATACACTTAACCTCCCCTCCCATATACCATTGGTTATACACTCTACCTTCTTTTCCCATAAACCACTGGTCATAATATGCCCCCCCCCCCTTATACGATCAGTTAAACACCCGCACCTCCGTATACTACAACACAACAAAAAAACAACCCAACCTTTAAAGCAGCTGTTTGGGTTAGGAATGTCTTAGATTTGTCCACGTTAGCAATGTCGTCAATGGATGAGTCGGCTAAGACAACGGCCAGCGCCACCGATCTGGAAATCAAAGGGAGGTAAACGTCAGAACTCGGTTTTTTCTTTTTAGTTTTTATTTAAGGAGGCCTAAAATAATTTTAAAGATATCAAATCCAGTACATGTATAATGAAAATTATTTATCATCATCTCCTTATAAATTGTTTAAACTTTATTAGTTCTCGTAATATGGACTACCGCAGTCTAGTTGCATTCTTTAAAACCTATATAAAACACATTTAAGACAGACTTGTATAAACTTACTCTGTAGCCAAAAGTCGTCTTCGTGTTGCTGCTGTAGTAGGTGTCTGGATGTCCCAGATTTTTATGGCGTTAGGACTAACGAAAGCTTGCTGTAGCTGTGTCGTCAAATTAGCTCTGAAGAAATAGTGGTATTATTTCCATTGGAAGTTTGGTTTAACCAATTAATCTTATGAATCACTGACAAATGTAGTATTTGTTTTACTACATTACTCAATGACGAATGCAATATGTTCCTCTACGTCACCTCACCACGTGAATCACTGACAAATGTTATTCCTGTATTTAGGTATCCTCACCATATAAATCAACATATATATATATAAACCTGATATTTTCTTTGAGTGTCACTTTAGCACACGAATCGCTGACAAACTCGATACGTTCTTTACTTTTTTTAGCGTCACTTTACCACATGAAAAACCGACAAATGTAATACTCGCCCCTACACCACCTCACCACATGGATCATTGACAAATGTTATACTTGTCTTCAGATGACCTCACCACATAAATAACTGACAAATGTTATACTTGTCTTCAGATGACCTCACCACATGAATAACTGACAAATGTTATACTTGTCTTTAGATCACCTCACCACATGAATAACTGACAAATGTAAAACTCACCCCTACACCACTTCACCACATAAATAACTGACAAATGTTATACTTGTCTTTAGATCACCTCAACACATGAATAACTGACAAATGTTATACTTGTCTTTAGATCACCTCACCACATGAATAACTGACAAATGTAAAACTCACCCCTACACCACTTCACCACATAAATAACTGACAAATGTTATACTTGTCTTTAGATCACCTCAACACATGAATAACTGACAAATGTTATACTTGTCTTTAGATCACCTCACCACATGAATAACTGACAAATGTAAAACTCACCCCTACACCACTTCACCACATAAATAACTGACAAATGTTATACTTGTCTTTAGATCACCTCAACACATGAATAACTGACAAATGTTATACTTGTCTTTAGATCACCTCACCACATGAATAACTGACAAATGTAAAACTCACCCCTACACCACTTCACCACATAAATAACTGACAAATGTTATACTTGTCTTTAGATCACCTCAACACATGAATAACTGACAAATGTTATACTTGTCTTTAGATCACCTCACCACATGAATAACTGACAAATGTTATACTTGTCTTTAGATCACCTCACCTCGTAGATCACTGACAAACCTAACACTTGCCCCTACAACACCTCACCACATGAATCACTTAAAAATGTAATACTTCATGGATCCCTGACAAAGCTAACACTTGCCTTTTGGTCTCCAGCGTCGCTTCCGTCTCGCTGACAACGACGGCAACCAGGTGCTTGTCTTTGTTGAAGGTGTCCAGCCTGACCACGCCCACACGGGACTCGGTGCCAGCGGATGTCGTGGTGGTCAAGACGACCCACTGGGTGTAGCGGGCGTTCTCGAGGATTTTGTCCTTCAGGTTCACGGTCATAACACCTGTCGTCCTTAAACAAGAAAGGTGTTAACTTTGTTTTAAAAAAACATTTTTGTGATGGATTTGTAATGTTTTCATTTACATGGGCCGGCGTGGCCTAATGGTAGAGAGCTAGACTGTTAACTCGAGTTCGAATCCGGGTAAAAATCAATGGAACATCCCTGATTCCACCCAGCTCTGATGGGTATCTAACTTACGTTAGGAAAACAAAGGCGGCTGGGTATAGTGCTTTCCACACTATCACTTCATATGCCGAAGTCTCTGAAGCAGATGAAAGCTTCTTCATCTGACTAATGTGTCTTGGGAAATTATAATTTAGTGACAGTATTTTTCGGACTTAATAATTGGACAAGGTTTTTTTTGTTACAATGAGAGTCATTTTAATAAAATTCCATCATGCTTCTTAATCTATTACTGATAAATAAGTTTCAGTTATTCAACGCAATACTGAATAGTTCTTTTTTATATTCAACGTTTAAAGAAAAGGCCTACTTTAAAAAAAAAATATTGCTCACATATTTTTAAAACTTATTTTTACGTGTATTATATACCTTTTGATATATAATGAATAATTACTGACTACATTTAAAAACAGATTTTGAATGCTTGTTAAAATAGTCAAAACACATTAAACACATTTTAAAACATTCAACAATTGCTGCATACTCAAGAAAAAAACTTACTTGGAGATATTGAAGACGTTAGTGCCGACAGAAGTGAACTCGTTCTTCCTGGTTACCGACGTGTCAAGGCCGAAATCTGCCGTGGTCAGTGTACAGACCACGTCACCAGACGCAGCGTCGTGTGGGAATTCCCGGGAGATGAAGCTTGTCGTGTTGAATGCTGGGTGGGAATTTTTTTTTTCAGATGTCGATTAGATTCTCAATTGGTGATTTTTAGTGAACACTGCTTAGTTTGTCAAATGTGATTTCTTTATTTTTAGTTTTTTTAAGTGACGATGTGAACGATGCTTGCGTTTTGTGTAAGGTGTTGTCGATTAGTTTGTCAAATGTGATTTTTACTTATGTCCTGAACGATGGGTGGGGATTTTTTTTTCAAGATGTCAATTAGATTCTCAAATATGATGTTTATTTACGTGGTGAAAGATGGGTGGGTTTTGTATTAGATGTTGTCGCTTAGTTTATCAAATGTGATTTTGTTTTTATTTTTGAGGTGAATACTGGATTGTTTTCGTATAAGTGGTTTCAATTATTTTGTAAAATTTGATATATTTTTTAGTTATGTGGTGAACGGTATATAGGATTTATATCTGCTGTTGTCGATTAGATTACCAAATGTAACATCTAGCTTAACAAATTCCTTACGTCTGAAAAAGTTTCAATACCGGTAACAGCCTACTAGCGTGGTCTTAAATTAGAAATTCTATTCGACATTTAAGCATTAACACTTTTATTTATCATTTTATAGTTTTACTTTAAAAAGTATATTTTCTAAACTCTTTATAATGTATATAAAAGTATTCTGAAATTGTAATGTTTTGTAATATTTTTTTATCATACTGTCCTGACAAGATGTGTTTTGCTGAAATAGTTAAAAATTTAAATCTAAATGTATTTACATATAACTTTGATCGTTTCATCTACATTGGTCACTTTGATGACCACAGTCGCCGTGGACGTCAGCTTGGGGCTGCCACCATCAACTGCCGTCACGTACAACGTAAAGGTAGGGAACACCTCGTAGCTGAACTGTTTTTTCACAGATATCTTCCCCGTCGAGTCCATGGCAAAATACGAGCTGCCCAGCGTACTGGCTATGGCCAATGTGAATTGGCTGTTGGCGTTGTTGACTTCATCAGCGTCGGTGACCGTCAGCTGACCAATGAATTGACCAACAGGAACGTTTTCTACAGTTGTGAACGTCAACGTGGATTTATTGAACGTGGGGTAGTTGTCGTTGACGTCCTCCACTTTGACAATCACTTGCTGTTGATAAAATTAGGTAAATAAAATCAGTTTAAATTATATGTATACTTAGGGCTTTCTTCATTTCTGGCTTTCTTCATATCTGAGTAAGCCATGCCGTTTATTTATATTTACAAACAATTGCCTGGTGCGTTGTTTTATTAACTTCCTTTGTCATCGATGTTATCGCAATAAAGATGTTCACATCTTTAAAAAATATGTAATGATCCGATAAATACAACAATACATATTTATTCCAAGTACTTCAATGAATAATTTATTTTTATTCACCAGCATACGCGACTTTTAAAATAATATAATAAAATTTCTAAAAATATTTAAAATTAAATTTAATTACAAATCTATCTCAACACACCAGTGGTAATCTATAATATAAGCCAAGTGGTAGTGTGTCAGTTCTTCCTTTCTTCCGTAATCACTATACATTTTAGAACCATAAAAGTAAACATCAGACCATGCAGTGATTTTAAATTGCATCGCATTGTCTTATTACAAGTATAAGAGTAGGGTTTGTTTATATAACGATTTAAATTTATTTTATAGTTGCCACATGGTTTACTGATTTGCATAACGGTAAGAAAATATTAAATACCCGCATATTGCTAAAACATATTGAACGGCTCATAGTCAAATAATATTTTCGCTTAATTCCTTGAAAAAGTGCATACATGTTAATAACAGTAGGGTCGAAAAACAAATAAATCAAAATATTTAGTAATTCTGCCAAGGGAGATAATTTTAAAAAGAAATTCAACACACACTAATTTTTAAAAAATGTGAATGCGAATTCCGTGGATGAAAATGAGGACATTATTGTTGCATTATTATAATTAGTATGGATTGATAAAGTGTACTGTGGAAGGTAAAACACGGTTTTATTTACAAACTTGTATTTAACTTGCTTGATCTGTCGTCAGTCTTTTTGTCTAAATCGAAACACACGAGTGAAATCACTGGCACTTCTAGCTGACTGCATACGGTTCAAAGTTGGCACGTGGGTCAAGACATGAAGACAATGCAATCTGACATTCAATTTGACTTAAATCGATGCCTAATTAATTTTTTATTAATTAATTTAAATTGTGTCCAAATTAGTAGACAGTCTCATCCAACTATTCCGCACTATTATACGCGTGATATCAAGTTTGTTAGGTGCGCAATGGTTTTTATTTATGCAACTCTAGTGCATTAAAAAATATAAAGTACGGGGAAAACATTTCATAAAAAAACGTTTTAATAACAAGCTTTTATATAGTAACGCACTAATAAGTAGAAAATAAATGAGTTTCTTTAAATATATAGTAATACACTTCTATTTAAATAACTATAAGAAATATAAATATAAAGAACTATATTGCGTTTGTGTTTTTGATTGTATTTTTTTTTTTTTTGGCGTTTGCAGTTTAGTTTGCATTGTGTTTGTGTTTGCATTGTTTTTGTGTTTTTCTTTGTGTTTGTGTTTGCGTTGTGTTTGTATTTGCGTTTGTGTTTAGTATTGTTCTGTCCCCAAGTTGGTTAAAAAAGATTTACCGTGGTGGAGCACAGACACGAAGCTAGTACTCTAAAGGCTATAAATAGCTTTCCGCGTTCCTTATTTTATGAGTTTAGGCCGAGATCTGAATATCAATATTAATATGCCGTGTACAGCAACAAGCGCTAATATTCTCAATGTTCTAGCAGCGAATGACTTTAAATCGAGACAACAATTTTCTTTTTACTGACCTACACAGATCAATTTTGTTGCTGGATATCATGGGATTTTTATATACTGTGGAACCATGATCCAACAGATGTAGACTCAAGGAGTTAAAGCTCCATACTATCATGACGATGTCCTTCTGAACTAGGTGAACCTAAGGAGCCCATCGTCTCTAGCCAATCAAATTAGAGTTAGTTGGACTCAGTGGGACCCTTCTTTTCTAGCCAATCAGATTAGAGTTAGTTGGACTCAGTGGGACTCTCCTTTTCTAGCCAATCAGGATAGAGGTAGTTGGATTCAGTTGGACCCACCGTATCTTATCCAGACCATCTGAGCTAGATATTCTTAGGAAAGGGGGGAGGGCAGCGAAGGCACACAAAAATGTAAGTTCAAGGGAGCTAGCTCACTGTCTACATCCAAAGCCCATTCCAGCTAATTGAACAAAATTATGTCCATAACCTAAAGATCTAAGGCTGATAACGGTAAAATAATGATGATTCTGCAAATACGATTTTCCAAAAGTATTATTAAGGAATAGATGAACGATACTACAAGTTTGAAATTTAATTTTTTTTTTTTACATTTTACATAATCAGATTTTAGCCCTCTTAACACCCTTTCCCACCCCTTCCCGGGTTCGGTGGTACTGTAGTTTCTACACATTTCCTATATCCGGAAAAACTACTAAATCAGTGATGGTGAAAATGAATAGGGATGACAACATGGAAGTAAACGAACTGACCTTGGTGACGTACGTATTGTCGTAACGTTGAACGGAGACCAGCAAGACATAGTATGCGTACGTCTCCCTGTCCAGCACTTTGTTGGTGGTCAGCATACCCCCAGTGGTCAGACTAAACGTCTGGTTAAAGTTTCCACCTCTGAAATCAAGGTCAAAGTTTTAACTTTGTCGAAAGACACGATTATTAGCTTGATTCTGTTTCAAGAATATTTTTTTCTAAAGCTACAAAAGCACTCTTGCCGTGTGTGTTTGTGTGAGTGTGTATGTGTTTGTGTATGTGCGTTAAAGCTTGCATGTGTGAGTCATTATATATATATATATATATATATATATATATATATATATATATATATATATATATATATATATATATATGAATAAATGTGTGCATCTTTTTTGTGAGTGTGTAGGGGAGTGATTGATTGTTGGTATAACTGTGTTTGTTTGCTTACGTGTCAGTATGTTTCTACTTGTCTGACTCAGTTTTAATTCATTTTGACAACAACGAAAAGATAATTAAATATCTGTGTATTTAAAAAAAGCAAAAACAAGTCACAAGATTTTCTTAGAAAATAATACTAACTACTTGGCAAACATTAGATATTGTAAATCAGTGCACCCATGGGAATACCAACACTTCACTTTGAATAAGTTGTTTTTCAGCAGCGAGGCCTTTAACCTTACGAGTATAATTTTTTTACACCATGTAAATTTACTTTTAGCACGATACTGATCCAGTTGAAAGCAACCATGCTCGTAGTGAGTGATATCAAGATAATTTAGATCAATCATCTTAAAAAGATAGAAAATTAGACAAAATAATATATTTGTTGTATTCCCACATAATAGAAAGATGAAGCAAAAGCACAAAACTAATGTTTACAACAAAAAAAAAAACGTTTATACAAACTCAAAACTATTATATACTAGCCGTCGGTACCCGTTACCCGTGAATTATAGGTCTATATATTTTTAATGTTATACATGTCTGAGAAAAATATTTTATAAAATAGTTATTGGTCAAAACGCATTGTGCTTTACTACACGATGAACGATATTAGAGACAAAGCAAAGAAATAACTAAATAGTTTTAACATCCGGCACATTTGAAATAACATAGGCTAACAATGCCTATTAGAAAAATCAAAACCAAATTAAAGGCTATATATTATTATACAACAGAATACCATATTACATCTACACACTGATTATGAGACTTAAATGGTTCCGTTAAAAAGTCAGCTATTCAATGGTCATTATGCTGTTTTTTAAAGTAATTTGTATTTGTTTGACCGAGAAAATTGTATATATTTAATAGCGTACGTCTTGATACGTAGATTTATAGAATCTAGATTTTAATCAAATTTGAATAAGATAGTTCATTTCTTTATATTCTAAAATCGGACGATGACGCCATAAGTGTTGTGTTCTCCCCATTGTGTAAAGATGTGGCATGTGACGTCATTTTTTATTGCGTTATTCTCATAACTATAAACACATTTTCGGTTGTATGATGGAAATTGTGTTTCTACATTCGAATATGAATTTATTTTTATTTTTCTTCTTTAAATAAAATTTAGGTTATACATTTAAATCATCTAACATACATATTATTTTCAACAAAAGTCCTATCAAGTTCTTCATTATCGCTGAAGATATTGATCTCATATCCTGTGGCAATATTTTGCGGACAGAAAGAAAGAAGTGCGCATATGGGCTTTTATATATTAGGATTTTTATCTAAGTTGATCTATTTGGTAATTAGTTCAGAACATTTAAGAGCTTGAACATCAAAGATAATAAATGTTTTTAAAACTTGTATTGCGAGACTGAATACAGATTTTCATCGTGGATTTAGTCCTAATAGTCGTGCCGGTAAATTTAATAAAAATTTAAAAAATTAGTATCGATCAATTAAATAAACACAGCAAAGTGTGTCTACATTTACAAGTTGACAATTAATTTAAAAACAAATTAATCAATTTAAAAAGGAAGTTATTTTTGCTTTATATCAAGATTTTTGTCTTTTTTAATAAACCACACAACCCGTTATCTCTTGGATAAATTGGGAGGCTGCAGGAATTATACAATTGATACAAATACTTACATTATGGTAAAAATGTCCCCAGTCCAATTTCTCTCAGGTGGTATAGTGTCTACTACGGTTCCTATAGGCTGATTCTCCTTCACACTAAATGAATAGTCTCCAGAAGGTGCCTGAGATACAGGGTTGACGGTGATACCGATAGTAGCAGTACCGGAAAGTGGTGGAATACCTTGGTCGATCGCAGCGATGACAAGCGTATAAAACCCGCTGGTCGATTCAAACGATTTTGTCGTTTTTACTTTTCCATTTGAAATGTCCACATTAAAAAGACCGTCGTCATTTCCGCTTTGTATGATGTAATTCAAGTCGCCGTTAACACCAACATCTCTATCTGTAGTGTTGACATCATACAGCAATGTCCCTACTACAATGTTTGAGAAAATCTCGAGGTCAACTCTGGTGAAACCCAAATTTGGTGTGTTATCGTTCTCATCTTTGACGGTCACAGTGGCGGTTGCTGAGGCTGTGTTGGACCCATCTGACGCAGTTACAATGATGACGTGAGTTCTGTTGGACTCGTAGTCCAGACTTTTGTTCAATGAAAGTTCACCTGTGGATTTCGCTATCTGGAAAATCCCAAAACTGTTATTAGTAATAGCGTACGTCACTTCACCAAATGTTCCAGAGTCCAAATCTGTAGCCAAGACGTAGAAGAAAGTCTCCGCCAAAGGAAATGTTTCGGGAACTCCTACGTTGTACACGCTACTTGTAAATACAGGCGAGTTGTTGTTGAAATCAGTGACGCTTATTACGACCACACTAGTCGATGATCGACTACTGGCCCCTGCATTATCTACCGCCTTAACGTAAAAGTTGTAGCTCTTTGCTGTCGAATATTCTAGGGAGCCAGTCAACGATATCACACCTGTTGTTGAGTTGATAGTAAAAGGCGCGCCTGACTCCATTGAGTATGTCAACTTTCCAAACTGACCAACATCCTTATCTGTCGCAGTGACTTGTCCAACGATTGTTCCAGTTTTTGCCGTTTCGTTGACTGACCAGGAATAGATAGTGTTCGAGAAAACAGGATCATACAAGTTGACCTGTGTGACGGTTATATTTAAGGTGAACGTACTGGTTAGTGAGTTATTGAGAATGTTTTGTGCTAGTACAACTAGTGTGTATGAGCTTGTGTTAGCGTAGCTTAAAGGTTCGATTAGTTGTAGTTCTCCACCCAATGGCTCGATGTAAAATTTATTCTGAGAGTTGCCAGACTTTATGGAATAAAGCAAATCACCACTTGCATGTTCTTTTGCTCCGTTAGCTGTCGCGTCCATGTTGTATATTAAATCTCCTGCAGTTTTAGTTTCTAAAACAGAGATAGAGTCTGATGTTGGGTTAAAAAGGGGCTGTTTGAACTCTGGGTCTATGGTCACTGTGACTAAAGCTGTAGAGTAGCGAGGTGGGGTTCCATGGTCAGCTGCCATTACTTCAAGAATATAAAGTGAGTTGGTGTTTGCGTCTAGAAGGATATTTGATGTCAAAACTTTTCCTACAAATTTGAAGGCGTTGTTTGTGTTTCCTGATGTGATATTTAACGTCATGGTGCTGTTAGCGCCATTGTCAGTGTCTGTTACTGTAAGTGTAGCTATAGACGCACCTGAAGCAGTACCGTGTTTTGTATTGACTGCATACATTGCTGGACTAAATACCGGATCATTGTCATTGACGTCTGAAACTGTAATGCCGATGGTTGTTGTGTTAGTTTGATTATTGGTATTGTTTACCTTAACTACCAAGGTCAGTGACTGATAACTCTCGCGGTCCATGGGATAGTTTAAGTAAATCCCACCTAGCCTTTCATTGACAGAAAACTGATCTGTATTTGACTGACTGGTGATGTAGTAGGTCAACTGTGTACCGAAATCTTTATCGCTGGCGGTGATGTTAAAGACGTTAGCACCGGTAGCCGTGTCTTCAGGTAAAGTGATGTTCACAGTTCCACCTGGGCTGATCAAGATTGGATTCTGTTCGTTCTTATCGTCCACTCTTATAAAGACGAGGGTAGTGCTGCTGAGTTTGTTTGGAGTGCCGCGATCTGTGGCACACAGAACTAGTGTGTAGAATTGTGTCGTCTCGTAGTCCAACACACTAGCCAATGAGAGAACGCCTGTGTTGGAGTATTTAAAGACATTTCCTGTGTTTCCAGATAGGATGGAATAATCTATAGTTGCATTGTTACCACTGTCTGGATCTGTAGCTGTGATGGTGTAGGTTGTAGCTAGTCCATCTGGGCCTTCAAAAATAGCACCATTGTAGTAGCTGTTGCCGAACTTTGGAGCATTATCGTTACAGTCCAATACTGATATCGTGACAGTTCCAGAAGTTACAAGACCTAAGGCAGTCGATGCTTTCAGTACAAGAGTGTATGACGTAGGGGACGTTTCTCTGTCAAGTGACTTGACAAGTCTGATGGTGCCCTGAGTTTGGTGAATGTTGAAATATAGTAAATCGCCGCTCTGAATTGAATATGAGATTAACTCGTAGGTCCCTGAGGCTGAAGCTGTCATTATGATTTCCGATACATTTGTGTTTTCGTAGACCTGTACAACTTTTGGTAGACCAGTAAAGACCAGGGTCTGGCTAATTTTTACTTTTACTGCTATTGTTGTTGTTCTTGCGGGTGATAGACCATCCGACACGGTAAACACTAACGTGTAATCCCCTGCCTGGAATGGACCAGACGACCTTAACCTGACCCACCCTTTAGTTGAGTCGACCTCAAAGAGATTGTAAGTGTCTCCAGAGACCAGAGTGTATTGTAGACCATTGACTGACACGTCTTTATCTGAGCAGGAAAACTGCCATAAGAAATTGGTCACGTTAGTGCTGGGTGTGATGAGAAAGGGAGCGATGGGGTCACACACGGGCTGATTATCGTTCTCGTCTTTTACGTTGATGGTCACCGTACAACTTCCGGTCCGTTTCGTCGTGTCTGATTGGTCTTCTGCAAGTACGATGACCGTGTAGTAGTCTTTAACATCCGCATCCAGACCGATACCAACTCGCATTATTCCCGTTGTGCTCTCTATTACAAAGGGCACAGTGCTGTCTTGAAGTGAATATGATAGAACACCGTCATTGCCGCGGTCTCCGTCAGTTGCTGTCACTTTTATGACAGACGTCCCTGGTAGATTAATAAAGGAAGTATTTTTGTTATATCACTTACCTGTTGTAACTGATAAAATAGAAGGGTTTCCTGATACTTATTTTTGGACAGACGGAATATTTTCCTTATATAGCATCTGACTTCACAGATTTCAATGATATTTCAGATTTCTGGTGATTTACTACTACGATTATTTTTTTAATGTTGAGGTATGTGAAAGAATGAACAATCTGATTGGTCCTTTTGGCTTCAGCATTGTCGAGGCTAAAAAGTTCAGGTAATATGC